TCCAGTTGTCAGATACAAGGATATATTGAACCTGGCTTAACAGGGGGACTCAGACATCTGAGGCGCCATATTTCAATGTGTGTGCCAAAAACCTATGATTGTTGGTTTGAATCCCAGTTCACCCTGCCTATGTTTCTAGGTTTGACAATGTCCATGCTAGTGGGCTTCATGAAAGTTGAAAACATCTAAGACCTGCTTCACATCAGGCTGCCTCCAACATCAACATAACTCGCTGTGATAGAATAAAAATCCTGTACAAAGCAGCAATAGACCCAACTCACTCACTTCTATCACAATGTATTAACAGTGATACACCTATCAGCATAATCAGGCAGTGCCAGACATTTTGATTTAATGACGGGGGGGGATATAGCCATCAGTATGTCCGTCTGTCTGTCCGTCTGTAATCATTGTTTGTCCGGAGCATATTTCCTAAACCATACAACCTAGCTTCACAAAACTTGGTACACTTACCAATCAGGCTCAGTAGTAGTGCCTTTTGCTATTTAGATATTTTTAGAATTTTTTATTTTTGTCGTTTCCATGGAAATATGATGAACTTAGGAAATTTGAGGGTAGTGCTCTTGTCCGGAACATATTTCCTAAACCATACAACCTAACTTCACAAAACTTGGTACACTTACCAATCAGGCTCAGTAGAAGTGCCTTTTGCTATTTAGAGATTTTTAGAATTTTATATTTTTGTCGTTTCCATGGAAATATGATGAACTTAGGAAATTTGAGGGTAGTGCTCTTGTCCGGACCATATCTCCCGAACCATACAACTTAGCTTCTCAAAAGTTTTTACACCTATCAAGCAGGTTATTCAGTGGTGCCTTTTCTATTAAAAGATTTTTTCTTTTTTTTTCTTTTTTCAATTTAAATTGAAAATTGATGAACTTAGGGTAATGTACTCGCCTGGAGCATATCTTCTAAACCATGTGACAGAGATTCACCAAACTTTTTGCACATATCAATCATGTTCATTAGTAGTGCAGTTTGTTATTTATAGTTTTTAATCTTTTTAATTTGTAGCCCCTGACATATGATTCTAAGGTGTACGATTTACCGATATCATATACTATATATGATGTGAGCTACATAACCTAGTACATTCTCTTTATGCCTTTGTGTCATGAGGCTACTACAGAGCTATTCATATGCGAATCTGCGAAGTTATTGTTATTACAATTTCATGAGATCATCAGAAAGTGAGCTACATGAACCGATATTTGATAACCTTCATTATATTTCTGGTTTTGGCATCAAGGAAAAAGATTTGTTTGCCAATCTAAATACATTTGAAGGTACACACAGTTTACCGACATGCCACGTCGGGGGGGGGGGGGATATGTCATCTTCGGATGACTCTTGTTAGTATTGTACTAGACTAGTGGCTGAAATCTCCGACAGCACCTGTACCTCCGCTCTCCCTCCTGTTACCCATCCCTTTCGGTCCACACATTGTGCTGGACATGGAACCTAACTAGATCAGTTTTCGATTCATTCCCTATGGCTCCTGTGTGAAGTGGAACTAATCGAGTCTGAATGTTAATGATATTACAATATGCTGCAGGTTGACATCCTTATACCAGACGAAGCCACCGGCAATGTATATTGCTAGGTCTCAAGTGTTGGGTTGTATTTATTTGTGTTACCTACTTGAATAGTAATTCATTTCGACTATCAAGCACCAGTGAGTCAAATGTATGCTTCTTCTGCCTACCTTCCTTCATGAGAAAGTTTTGGAAAATCTCAATCAGTCATCAAATTCTTGTCAACAGTTTCTTAATCATGTTAATGATATTAAGTGCAAGATATTGGTAAAAGCAAATTCTTAAAATAAAAATTAGCTTTTCTGAGTTAATACTTTAATTTCAAGTTTGAACAACAAACAAGACTTACCTGATCCTGCTGGTATGAATTTTTGACAAATTGTCTTTTGTTGTTATTCAAAAATCCATGTATTTGAACACCCACTTTCATTATAAGTGTTGAGTGATCCAGTATGAAATGACATATTTAGATTTTATTACCAAAGTGCCAGAATAGTACATTAAATGCATTCTAACCCCCAACACAAAATTGCCACAACCTGTATGTCAGTGTCACTCTGCTGGAACTTAACACTCTCAATGGAACTTAACAAGAAACCAGTAAAAGCTGTTGTGCAGGACTATTTCTGTGGGCCAGTTCACTTTTGAATTACTTTTGTACAAAATCAACAGTTTTACTTATATGTGTAAGAGAAATTGTTGTCCATAGTAATGATGACAAAGATGATTAACAGTTTTGAAGTGAAGTTGTACCCAGTAGGATGAGATGGTTATGTGACTGTTTACCTTTGGGCACCTCACAGGCAGCTTGGGTTCCATACTGCCCAGGGAGCTCATAATGAAAATCTAGTGCACATTCAGATCCTTTGACCGGGATAATAATGTTGCCATTTGATTTGGCACATAATAATAATAATAATAATAATAATAATACAACAACAGTTATTTTAAAATCAGGGCTGGGTGTCCATTAATAGCATGTTTACCATGTTTACTATGTGAATTATTGCCTGTATAATTTTACACCTCAGTTATGCACAAAGTTAATGCACTTACACAATGTATACTGATAGTAGATGTTAATATGAAAATGTTGTATTCAAACAAATACAATTTTATCAGAGGATGTGTTTAAATTCACTAAACTTTTGTTTGTATTAGTGCATATGTGTGTGTTCAACTGTTCAACTGTGTATCCTTCAAATTAGGTACTGGTTCACACCTATGTCTCTCTGTTTCTGATAAATTAAGAATGTTTCATGTTATAATATATCCAGCACATGAGGCAATATTGATGATAGTTGTCCTGCTGGTACTTAGTGATAGGCTATTTCAGTTACACAGATTTTAAATGTATGACTTCTCAGGTCAGTCTGCACATGCATACACATTACCAAAAGGTCTTGTGTTGGTAGATACTTCAGTAATGTGATTAAATATGTTATTGATCGATTAATCGATTAGCTCTGATTAATTGTATTCATATCATGATCAGTGATAACCAGAAGAACTTCACCCATTGCTCTTAACATGCTTAACACCTGAGTTGTAATTCAACTTCTGGGACTTGAAAGGGTTCTTTTCGTGATGTCTTCCAGTTGATTCTATGATGAGACTTGTGATATTTGAGAAGTAGGTGTTATTGATTGCCGCCATTGCTTTGTCCTGCATCATATCAAAGATATCTAATCAAAAATTATTCATTAGAAATTTCACAGTAGACATTCATACAAGACTGATGGTTTCCGTATGTGGTTGAGGTGGGCAGGAAGTTTAGTTTTGCCCTCTGATGTTGACACAATGTCAATACAGAAATTTGTACCCTTTGTCTGAAATGTTAAGTGAAAATATTGCATTCATGTTAGATATATTTGGAGTTAATCTTTGAAAATGTGTAGAAACTAGCACAAGTCCTGTAGTCTGAATCATTATGCCTTGTGTTGAAAGAAACATAACAGTTTATTACATTATTGCGTGCAGTTTAGTTGTGTAAGATCAGAGAAAAATAGCATTAGGACATTTCTATGACTTTGTCAACTTCAGATAGAACATTCTTCTATTTCAGTACCAAATTTGAAAAGAAATCTGTAGAACATTCCCCCCCAAACGTCAGTCAATGAACTGAGCTAAACGTGTTAAGGGGGCATGGGTGGCTCAGTGGGTTTAGAAGGGGACTGTGCTCCACAGTTTGTTGATCATCTAAGTCTTGGTCCCAACATTGGAATTATTGCTGCCATGTATGAAATGAGACATTGTCTTTGTGTAATTAGGGTTCTAATTAACAGCCAGACTGATTGACACATAGATTGTCAGTTAGAAGACAAACAAGTGGGTGGTCACTGGTTTGATTTGAATGCAACTTGCTATGACTAACAAATGGCTTGAGACTTATGCCCTTTTTAGGTGCTCACTATAGTAGTATCGTGAAGGGTATTTGTGGTTCTATGCATCCCATGGCTTGTATAAAATGACTGTTTCAAAAAAACACATAAACCCAGAGTGATAATGCTATGATGAATTTATCTTACTGACATGCTACAATCTGCTATTGCAAAAGAATTAAAACAAATTGAAAATTGATAGAAACCAGCTGTTCGATTGAGCTGAGGTTAATTTGTGCTGTGTCACGGGACTTTTATGGACTCGTATGCAATGTGCATCTTTTTACTTCATAGCAGGATATAAGTTATAAGGGATTTATGTATGGAAATCCATGTGCAGCCTTTTTCTATGTGGCGGGGTAAAAGGATTTGTGCTACTGCTCAGAAACTGATTTCCCTCCAAGGTGTAATACATAATATTTTATGAAGATCACCTGAAACAGTCAGATCCCAACATTGTGACATGGAGGTGAGATAATACCCATTGTTGGCCAAACATAGCTCTTAATATCATTTTCAGTACAATTTAGTGTGCTTATATAGATTTTTATTAATTGAGGTTTTAAAATGAGAACTCGCCCATAAGACACTTGATGATATGAACATATATCCACACAGCAAAAGAATCTGAATACATGTACAGCAAAAGCATGTGGAGACATGAGGGAGAATGTGTCCCCAGCATGCCATTGTCTAGTCTAAGAGACAAACTAAATTGGGAACCCGTGGCAATGGGTCCCGTGCAACTTGAGCTGGTCGTAAGAAGTGAGTAAATGGATTGGTTGGTCCGGCTCAGTGACTAGGTTGATTGTGTCAATGATCGTGTCAATGTGCCAAAATATGGCGTATATTGTAGCTCAATCACTTGATTGTTTGGTTTGTCATATAGCTGGAATATTGCAGAGTGCGCCGTTTAACAACAAACGCATACACCGCAAAACCAACAGTGAAAAAACAAAACAAAACACGACACAGAAATGTTGTTAGGAAAATACATGATGCTGATATGAAATGTGCAGTTGTTTACAGGCCAATATCCAACTACTGTCATGTCCTGTTTCAGGTGACATCACACGGAAAGGTTATGAGAAGAAGAAGACTCGTCTCCTCACACCATATATGAAACAGCAGCCTCCAGGTAGGTTTCGTTGCACGCTGTTGCTGCCGCCGCCACTGCTAATCCCAGTACTGCCGCAGTTCACTTCCCTTTCTTGTTATTTAATATTTCCTGTAATTTCTGTACTAATAACAATTTCCATTTTTTTTAATTTTTGGTTTACTTTTAGCAGGGAAAATAATGCTTCATTGCTTCCTGCGTGACTTCAGAACTGATACTAGCTAATCAGTCACCACAAATCATTGGAAGAAACTGTCAGTTTTATAGAAGAATGAAACTATCCTATCACATGTTGGACAATATCACACTTTCTGCATATACAGTAATTATTTGGTTATTTTTTATGCAGATTTTGTGTAATTGCTCTTGATGTATTTCAACTGTTTTCTTAATTGACATCTGTGACTAAATCGTGTTGTAATAACTGTTTGAAGCATTAGATTATAGCAATATTGTACTCCTACAGTTTTCAGAAGGAAAATTTATGAAATAATCCCTTGGATGAAACAAATTTCTGAGTTAATAGAAGAGGATGATTCTTTGATGACAAATTTGAATAGTGTGAATAGTGCTAAGTCCAGTGTAAATGCATGTTGTGTACAGTTCCTGTAAACATCTGCCTTGCATGCACGGGGCATGCCGACACTCTAGCTGGTACATAGCTGTGGCTCCACCCCATCCTTTCAGTGTCATCTCATCATCAGTGCCAGGATTACTGGATTCTTACAGTAGTGTCAAGTGTACAGGGAGGAGATATTGGTCTTTCTCTTTTCAGATAAAGAAAGATGGAGAATATTTATACAGAGATGTCACAACATGGTTTTTACCGATATTTTTTTACAATTATGTACAGTTTGTTTAAGAAAAAATAGCATTTTAAGTTTGAATTTATAGTAAATATTTTCTATTGGTTTCGTAGGAAAGTTTGTGATTTTTTAAATAGGATTTCAAATGTGGATTCTATCTCTCGTCATTACCATTCAAAGGAAAAAGATAACCAAATTCTTACTTATTGGAAGATATATGTTTTTAAAGAATGTATTTCTTTGTTCAGTTATTTAACTACCTTTGAGGACTTTCTTATGGCACTGTACCTCCTGATACTCCGTACGTCTGTAATAACATCCCTGCATACTGTATCTGCAGAGACAGGCCTAGGTTTGAGGTACGTCAAGAGTTAGATGCCAGTTGATTATCAAGCTGAATAAAGAGAGTTTCTTTTCAGTTTTGTCACAGATTGATTTAACTGAAAACTTTTCCTGAATTTTTGTAGGCCAGGGGCCTAGCGCTCCAAGCCCCTCAACAGCAGCACAACGTAAAGCTCAACGTCGCTTAACTCGAGAAGATAATCGATATCATTCCGGTAAGCAGGGAGGCACCTGTTGTTACTAGTATCAATGCTAGCGTACTAGTATGAATACTGATGTAATGTATAGCTAGTGTGAAAACTTTAATGTCATTGGTTGAAGGGAAATTGGTATTTTCTCAGTTTCTGAATTTGTTCAAATAAATAGGCAACTATATGTTTTAGTCATTTCTAAGGTCATGACAGACATTCTAACACTTTTAGATTTGGACAGAATACGTTTCATGTTCTCTTCATTGAACGGCATTGATTTTTCAATTATCTAACAACTAATTGCTATGTGGCAAATTACTAGAACTTTGAAGTATGTTTCAGTTTACTTTGAGTATTAACACATTGGGCCAAATACTAAACATTTATGTGTAAATAGCAATTCTTGGTATATGTTTATTTCAAACAAAAACTATTGTCCTCATTTATTGTTGTTTACGTTTGTCCTGTCAACTTTTGTTTATGGAAGAATGGCTTAAATAAGACACAAATTAAATCTCAAAGTTGAGAGCATTTGTCAAAATATGAAATTCAATTTGATATTGAAGATACTGATACATATTTGCAACTTTAAATAAAACTTAACAACAAGACAGTATTAAGGTATTTAAGAGCCTCCATCTTGCTTGTGTGTGTGTGGCTTTAGAGACAGACACTGAGATTGGTAGTTGATATTTAGTGAGATGCCATGGAAACTATGTGTGTGGGTGTTGACTGTTGAAATGTTGGTATTTCTTGTTGAAATTAACACTTTGTTCTCATTTGGTTTTCATTGATTGCAACAAAAATGTGTGAAACATTCTGGTCATTACTGGCTGAATAAAAACTGAAATGTTCACTTTGGGGGATATTAGAACTTTAAACCAAATACTGAATTTTGAATTTAAATTTCAGATTTTCTGGAAATGATTTTTGATTTGATGTGATTGATAACTTGATAATTATTACATAGCCTGTTTTAAAATTTTTGGTGATGAAGTGTTCATGTTGTTTTGTATTGTACTAATATCATCCATCTTTGTGACAATAACTCTGAATTTTGTCAAATTTATGTATGGATATAAGTGATATAAAAAGTTGAGACATGTTTTTTTATTGAATATGAAACTTTTCTGTCCCTTTTTCTTCAATCAACTAACAAATAGATTGTATGAATGTTGGATGTTAGTAATTGACATGTGCAGGAAGGAAGAGATAAACATGTTGTTCAATGGGTACACATTTTACTTAGATTACATAGATCTACAAGATTAATTGACTTCTTACTTCATTTTGATCATCATTCTTGTGCATGCTACCTAAACAATGTCATCATCTTGTACATGTATGTGGTTGTGGGTGTTCAGCTGCCAATCTACATTCAGCTTTGGCCTTAATATATATACACATGTATTCTCCATGTTACTGCTCCCATTCTAGTCTGTAGGAAGGGAGATAACTCTTCACGAGTTAGGGTGAAATATTTATTATTTAGTCAGTTCATTGTTCACTGTTGACATGTTGGATGATTTTGTGGATTTCCTCCCACAATAAGCTGACTAGCCGTGATTTATACCCAATTCACTTACTTATTTGCTAAGGGATAAATTTTAACAGAGTTAACATTGCATTCTTAAATGTCTTGTAGGAGACTCAGATAATTTGTATGGGACTTACCATATTCAATGTATTACCCTGCTCCAATGAGCGCCCCTGACCAACTTCTCGACCAGTCCGTAAGTAATCATTATCATGATTATAAGCTTCCCCTACCAAGACCAAAATTTTCATGACTGTCCATATTTTCTTTTATCACAGATTTTTAACAGAAAACAGCAGTGTAGAATGGATATATTTATGCTTAGTAGCTATTTTTTAAAACATTATAGTTTTTTCACTACTGCTTGATCACTGACAACAAATTTAACACATTAAGCATCTCACTTTGTCAATTTTCTGAGCACCTGCGGTGCTTATTATGGAGATTATGGTATCTTCTTCATTAAAGACCAGACAACCAACAGAAAAAATAAACCTATGTTAAATTCTATTTGTACATGGTTTTGAAGTTGACTTATTTATGATGTTAGATCTATGTGTGGAGAGCTTATTGCTGATGTTCAGCATGGTTCATTGAAGACCCTGCTTATGGTCTGTCTGCTTGGTCTTTGTCTTACAGTGTGCTGTCCTGGTATAGTCTGTGTGAATGGTTTTCTATTGTATGGTGTGCCATTGCAGAGATTCGAACAGAGGCTGTGATGCAGGCTTTGGCGATGCATAATAAGCGTGTTCCTGTGATGCCATTGCCGTCTAAACGGACATCGGTCAACTACCATGGCCAGCAGAGGAGAGAGAGACATGGAGGTAATTTTCAAACAGTCTTTCAGTTTCCCCAGTAACTGCTCTAGAGGGGAGACAACCAGCTAGGTACTGGTCAGCCAGGTCCATCAGGTTAACTGCTCCAGACAGGAGGACTAGGCACAGAATTTGGGGCTCTTATATTCAAATTATGTTGCACCAAACCTCAAAGACCCAAGCACCCCCCTAATGAACACTAGAATTAACCTGTGTTTACAATATACAACATAACCATGGTAACAGAATTAAGAATATAACAATGATGTAATAATGAGTACGCTGATACACATGCTCATGCCATTACAGATCAGTGTGCAGTCATGTTGTATTCTCACATCCCTAGGGATTGACCTGAATCTTTAAATCAAAAGCAAGCCCTGTTTATGTGAGGTGAACATAATTTTTTATTAATTTCACGCTTGAGTCATTCAGTATGTACTTTTGTTGGAAGCGATGCATCAAATGACCAAATATCTTGTGAAACTTCACATCACCTCAGTTGTCCAATGGGCTGTAACGATACACTATATCTGTCTCGGCTGTAGCATCACATCAATATGCAATGTAACACATACAAACTTGTGTCCATCACCAAGGGGGAGAAGAGAGGCCCAACTAAAACTTGGAGTATTTTAATTCAATATGAAGCCATGTTACACATCACCGTCTATATTCTTGTATCATTTTATAGTAATACCTGCTGAGCCCATTTTTGTATCCCAGCACCATCATATGCCTGGAATATTTCTAAAAAACTCAACCCAATGTATCCGGATGCCAGCATGCAGATAGCTGGTGACAGGCTAGAATTTATGATCAGAGCACACCCAAAGAAGGAATTTTGTTTCATTCTAAAGACTATGATAAGATAATGTTTACAGTGATTGTCCAGCTTTTCCTGTCAAACTTTATAATGTATTTGTAATGATTTTAAAAGTGTAGTACTTCCTGCCTTGCACTTTTGTGAAATGAAGCAGCCTTTGACAGTGAGTGTGGCCATGAATAACACGTGATTAGTGACACTGCTATTTGTTGTGCCACATGTCTCACAGATATAAGCCATGGCGCAAACTAACTCTATTATGCCTTCCTCAAAGAGAAAGTATTGATTGTAAGGCAATGAAGTTATTGCAACCTACTTGCAGATGAATGGCATATTTCACAGGCAACTCTATTCATTGAATTGGAGAATGCATTGCACATACATTGTGTGATTGGATATTTTCATATAATGTTTTCAAATGGTAGTTTTTCTTAACCTCTAGAGTTTTGAACATTTTATTAGAATGTTGGGGAAAAGAGGATATGTTTTATTGCATGGATTATATTTTGAAAAGTAGATCTAATATGTTTTGTGTGAAATTAAGGCTGTACAAAAATAGTTTTTAGATTCTTTTGTTCTTATTGATCACTGTTGATTAAATCCTTTTAGTGATTAGTTCAAAATAATATCCAGCCTAAATAAGGATCATGATTTTTTACTTCTCGGATACAAGTATCGATCACACTCACACACTAAGTAAAAAATATGGTCTTTACAAAAACATGGTGTTTAACATATCTGAAATATGTAAGTAAGCAGTGGCACATGGATCAACTGCACACCTACCATAGGCCAACCTGTGGTGATTCTGGGTCAGAAGAGGTCCACAGCACACCATGCAAGTTGTAAGAAGGAACTAAAATGAGGGCGGCGGTGGGGAAGGCCAGTGGTTAAAGCGTTTGCTCTTCACGCTGAAGACACGGGTTCGATTCCCCACATGGGTACAATGTGTGGAGCTCATTTCTGGTGCCCCCGCCATGGTATTGCTGGAATATTGCTAAAAGCAGCGTAAAACCATACTCACTCACTCACTGAAAGAAGGATTGGTTGATCACAGTGTGTGACTTGGCCTGACAGTGTGTCACTTGACTGCATGGATCATTGCTAGTGAGGTCCTGGGGGAAGGGTGGCCTTGCCATTTTTGATGCTGCATTTCGATGTTCAGAGATTACATCCCTTAGTCGTGCCAGAAAACTTAGATTTTGGTTCAACACACATTTACTCTAATTGTGTTTCTAAGTTTGTCAGCACCATACCTGTGCTTTTGACTTTCACCTAAATTTGAATGTCTGACTTGCATAACATGAAGTTAACATATTATGATATCACCAAAATATTGTTGGCATAAAACCCTACTCACTCACTTATGCTGGTCTTATTGGATTTAAAAAGTATCTCATACCTTTGGTAGCTTGAGACCTAATTCAGAGCAGAAATATCAGGCAAACTCCACATCACAGTTACTTTGGTAGTGAATAGGTACACATCAAACATAATTTTTGTAATCTGTATCAAGCAATTTTATTTTTTAATGTGATTTGAGAACTATACTTTATTTGATCAGAATTACTCAGTTTCCTTATTTTGAAGATTTGTTTTGTTTGACCAGTCTGCAACTGTAGCCACCAGTCTGCAACCTGAGTCTAGTAAAATGATGTTCTGTCTTGTATTTATTTGTTTTTGTTTGTTGTATAACACTGCGCTCAACAGGATTCCAGTAATATGACAGTGGTCTGTATAACAAAAGCTGGACCAAACAATAGAGTGCTTGATATCATCAGCATCGAGCTTGCAATTGGGATATGATGACATGCGCTGAGCCTGACCACCCGATCCACTTACCAGTAGTTACTTATGACAAGCATAAGATTGTTGATATTATTATTAATTTCGGTCTATTAAGCTTAGCTAATAATAATGATGATAAATGTTAATGATAAAATGAAAACACTTAAAACTTCTGAAAATGATGCTAAGAACTGTGTACATTCAAAAGAACTTGGCACATAGTGCTTGACTTGATCAAATCAATTGAATTTCTTGAGAGCTAACTGTTTTGCATTCGTGGGTTGGTGTCATTGAATCAATTTGTCTGAATAAGGTCGGAGGTGAAGGTCACTCATTGAAGAATCTTTAAAGTTGCAAACATTGATTCCTGTTATTTGGAGACAGTAGATTTTCACTCTGGTGTGAAAAATATTTTGTGATCTTCAGCAAATGTCCTAGTGGTAACTGATCATCTGAATTGTTTGGGAATTTATATTTTAACTGTTTGTCATTTGATTTGAAAGCATGTGCTGTGGGATGCTTTAACAGATGTCTTTGTTTTTGTATGGAACTAATCAATACATTGAAGGAATTAGTTAGAATCTGAAATTTACTACCTCTTTGTGACTTACTTAACATGGTCTTATTAATGTGATGTTGGCATTAGGCTTGAGATTTCTTCTTGAATACTTAATGGAGCAAAATGTGATTGTACTGATAATGCAGATGTTGGGCAAAATGATCTGTTAAATAAAATATTAACATCTGGGAAAATATTGATTTAGACACCTGGGAAGATTTAGACACCTTTGTGTGTGATAGGCCAAATAACAATAAAGTCTGTCTCATGCATGAGAAAACCTTTATTTTTATCCTTCAATTTTTTCATCTGAAATTGATATTGGCTAAATGTCCTGTCTGACAATGTGCTTATGGCCTGGCAGGGGTAACATGTAAGTCTTGACTAGCTGAGCAATACTGGCATGTTCTTAGTTTCTGCCCAACAATATAATGTGGAGAGTCGAAAGCCTTAAACAAGATCGGTAACCAAACACAAGGCAATGATTTTTGTATGGTATTTGACATTTTGAGGCAAAAGAAATATCTATTAATTTGCTTGATTAATAGTTGAGCACATTGTATGTTCATTGATGAGTTTGTTAATGTGATTATTACCCAGCTAAAAAATGCATTTGTGATGTAGCATCAATGTCTCTCCTTGATTTGTAATATGTTCAGTCAGTAATCTTATCATAGAAAAAAACTAATCTAATCTCTTTAAGAATGTGGATGTAGATAGCTTAGCCTCCGTGAAGGGAGACCTCAAACAAAGTGTTGACAGTATATTCTGCTATGTGTGTTAGGTGTGTGCCCAATCAAGTCCTGGTGCCCTGTGTGTAGTTTTCTCAAGTATTGATCAGTGTGCTTTTGGCTATCTCCACACAAGCTGATGTGCCAGGCAGCAGGGGACACTTCTTGTTGGACATGTCACTTTCAGGGAAGTTCATATTAGTTCGAGATTTGTATTTCCATACATACCGTGTATGTATGTGCCATAGTTTAAACAGTATTATTAAGATATATAGACGTTAGGTCAATTATGATATTGTCAGGGCACAGTCCAGGGTTTTACAGGATGCAGAAATGAAAAGAATGGGTGCAGAAAGAAATATTGTGCTTCCATCTGTAATATTCGTTGTACCAAATTCTTCACGCGGATTATAAAGATTCTGTAATAAAGTAATTATCAAATCTTTCAGTACAGGACAATACACCATTTCATTACTTTACAGGATCCTCATTTTTCCTGTTAGGACCCTTGAAATTAATCATTGGAATCACCTAGACCTCCAGTTTTCTAAGTCAAGTAAAACCCTGTCACTCCCTGAAGTATATGTTAGGCCATCCATAGTATATTTTGGTTTAAACTTGAGAGGGAGAGGTCATTATAAATAAAACAAATTTCAGAAAAAAAGAAGCTTTTGGCTAAGACTACAAACAATAAGTTGTTCAGGTTGTGATTGGTTCCCAGCAACCTTTGATGGCTATGATAGAAAAGTTAATGGATTGAATGATAAGGCTTGGTGACATGGTTGATTGGGTGTCCTTGTACCCCGATGACATGGAATGCTGCTTGATACTGCATGTAAATGTCCGGTCCACACTCAATTATTTACATGCCCTCATCATGTAGCTGTATTACTGCAGTGTTAAACAACAAACAAAATAATGTTCATGATACAATGTGGTGAAGCTCATTTCTGGTGCCCCCGTCATGAACAATTCACTCATGTAATCATTAGACACAGGACCTGATAGGGGGAGCTAGATTTTCAGGCCTTTAAATTAGTGCAGATGCAAGTTAAAGGCTGATGTAAATAACATAGGAAATGTTAGTCAAGTTAATGATAATCCAATCACCAGTTGGGATAGATGACTGATGGGTTACCCCTTTACTGATGCAAAGATCAGTTATAGGTGTCCATATGTGACATCATGCCTTGTGGAGAAAGATAGCAATAGAAATGATTGATAGGTTGGAACAAGCTGATTATGACCAATGTTCAGTGATAAAATCCAAACCTTTTCCAAATCAATTATATAGGGCTTATTAGTGTCAGGTGATTGATTAATTGGAATCTTTTATAATTTTATAGGTCCGTATTCAAGATTAAGGTGAAAGTGATAGGGTCCTAAACCTGATCCTATTGTTGACAATCAAAGATTAAGTTGTCTCTAGTGTAAAACACTAAAGCAGAAAACCACAAATGTCCCACTATCAAATTGAATTTCTAACACTGTATATATAATAATATATTATGGAAATGAACTTGTATCACACAACGATAGCCCTATGAGGATAGGTCCCCACTACTTGAGTGGCTGGAATAACCTGGTGTCACACACACAATGATGGCCCTGTGAGGATAGGTCCCCACTACTTGAGTGGCTGGATTTACCTGGTGTCACACACACAATGATGGCCCTGTGAGGATAGGTCCCCACTACTTGAGTGGCTGGAATTACCTGGTGTCACACACACAATAATAGCCCTGTGAGGATAGGTCCCCACTACTTGAGTGACGGGAATTACCTGGTGTCACACACACAATGATAGCCCTGTGAGGATAGGTCCCTACTACTTGAATAACTGAAGTGTGGATTGTGTGGTCACAATGGCTGGTCAATGAGGATAGTACATGGATTAGCACCACAATTCTACTGTGTTGTTCTACCTGATTGGGCTTGATTGTTGCTTTCCCTCTCCAAGACTGGTTCTCCTGGTAACATTGGTAGCCTCCCTGACTTCATCTGGTATAAAATGCTAATGCATTCTCTCATATCAAATTATTTGACCTAAACAAGCTCCTCAAATAAATTTTCCCTCTGTGTTAATATGTTGTTGTTTAAATGCATTTCGTCACTCTTTCATTTCACTTCTCCAGTGTAACAATTATTCAGTATCATGATCAGAAACAGATTATTATATTAATTTAAGAGAATGAGATCAGTGAGGATAATAAAGATCTGTTTGATCGGATATATCAATAAATTCATTATTCACCAGTTCTTGTTTAGATGAAATAAATATCTATGCACATACAACTTCCGTAACAAAACACAGAGTTGTTGCCCCCTCAGACTTGATAATGCCCCATTAATCAATTAGACACCTTTGTGTCCTTCCGTTTTAAATGAAAGTAAATGTTTATAGTTATAAAAAACATTTCTCTCCAACCTTTCGTCAACAGTTGAGATGTCAGAGAGCGTTGTATCCCCACCTATGGGAGATGTAGTCACTGTTTGATGTTAATATGGCTAATAGCATGTAATACGAAGACGAAACCACGATCTAGTAAACTGAAGAGCTGCCACACAGAGAAAGACTTGTTTTGTATTGATCTAGGAACATTTTCTTTTGCCCTGACCCAAAATGGCCTCATTGTAAATGTTTGTAAGGATTTGCTCCTTTCTTGGTAAACTTGTTCGTTTACCATACCGTTCGGTTAGAAAATTGTCTGCGTTAGTGTTGAAGAGGAATTTGGAGATGGGAATACCATTTTGTAAGTAAAACCTTGAAAATATGTCCAAATGTGTCACAATTCATTTATAATTTTTGTTGAAACAAAATAATGTATTATCTGGATACTTGTTGACAGTGGTCTGTAAATATTAGGGCAGATTTAATGGTGCATGATGTGCGTCAATATTCTAGGTCTCTTGATGAAGACGATTTTTGTCATTGTCTCCTGAATTCCTTATGGTTGTGTGAGTTCTCTGTAAACATTTGCTTGTTGATAGAAGACCAGTATTTGAAAATATCTCATCCTTTTATTTTTGTAAATAGTAACAGTTTTAGGAAGTGCCCCCTGGATGATGATTGAACAAATTAAACGACAAATTTGCCCATTATCGCCAAAGACCACATTAGGGTGAAATATTAATCCAAACTGAAATGTAACTGTATAATTATGTATCAAACCTTGATTATATTTATATCCAAATTAGATCACAATTTGAAAAATGGATATTAATTTATATAAACTAGAAAATAGACTGTTTCAGTCTAGATTGAAACAATGGTTACCCATTGTAAATAGGCCAGTGTAAAACTGTTTGATTCAGCTGAAATTTGGATTTGGGATTTTATCTACAATCATACTTATGTGGACACAGATTTGGATAGTGGTTTAAACAATATTTTGTTTTCTTCTAAATGGATTGATCAGCAGGCACAATGCCTATTTGAAGACCTCTCCGATACAAATATATTTACATGAAATATCATAACACTGTGGAAGATATAATTGTCAACATGAAATATGTATATATAGATGCATAAGAAGTGAAAAAGAGTCTAATATACCAAAGGCTTTCAAAGAATCTGATAGTTCCTCGGTCAGCAATATGGTCTACTTGGGATAGAACTGATTATATTTATAGTGGTGGTGACTAGTGCAGGTGAAATATTCATTGCCAGGTATGGTAGCCTGTATCCTCACCACTCATATTAATAGTGGTATCATGTAGGCAAACTATCCAAGGTAGTGAGTGACTGAGTGAGTGATAATGCTGCCCAATCTTGCAGCTGTTCCTATCATATAGAAACAAAATCAGTAATTATGATGCTGAAGATCACAAATTTATAATCAAATATAACTTTCCAGGTAATACAATGACTTCAAATTAATATCTACATTTTATCATAAAGATTGATTTCTTTAAAATATGCGTAAGATCTCAACAGCAGGCTACTATTAACATAGGACAATTGCCATATGTGAAACCTAATCCAGTACTTGCATCAGTTGAGGTGAAGTTTTCCTCGTTCATAAATGTCTGTGAAGCATAATGCAGTTTTGTAGATAAGGCATGTTATTAATTACTTGGTTAACAGATCAATTGACATTTCAAAACATGTGGACCATATTTCAAATTTTGAGTTCAATATTAATTTTTCTAACTGGTATATTAACTACCGGTACTTTCAGTTTTGAAAAACTATATGTGGGTCAATAGTCATGATTGTCAGACCAGAAGTAATCCTTTCTTATGTCACACTGTCAAACATGGCATATGGCTTACTGTACTTTTAAGAGGTTACTTAAAGGTGTGCCCTGTCTATATTACACAATTATCATGACATATAGTTATCGTCTGCAAGGTTTTCACAACAGTCAACACAAATAACCACTTCCGTTTGAAACGCAAGACTTAACTATTATTTGTGATATTCCGCCAAAATACGGACAGACATGTATATATTCAAATGTGTTTCATGCAACCGTAACCATTTCATCTGAAAATAACAGTCAATGGAAATCACTGAATAATGTTTTACAACAGGAAGTCATTTTGCGATAGTAGAACATGCAACTAATGGGAAAACTCTCTCATTTCACAGTTTAATATTGTCAACACATGAAATCAAAATTAACATGAGTACTTTTGATGAAAAGTGCATGGCGGCACTTGTAATATCTAGCCCTGCATTAATAAAGTGACACATTTTTATCTAAACATGGAGTATATGGTCATGTCAGGTTCACTGAAACAATGACATATATATATATATATATATATACACCAAAGCTCACAACAAACAATATAATTGTGCACTAGATTTAGACAATACTTCTAAGTTCACCCCAAGTTCTGCATTGAGTGTGCTTAGTTAGTTTTGTTTACACGAGTTGATCAAGCATCAAGTCGCCAAGCATGTATGACGGCGTCTTTGTTCATGGATAATCTTGACAAATAATCTTATAATTACAAGGCAAACACTGCCCATCTATGTTGTAAAATAAGGTCTAGTAACTCGTGTATCAACACTTGGAACTTAAACATTCTTTGTCGTTGACCCCACCAATGCCATCTGAATATGCGTTATTTGGATTAGTTTTTATGTCGTGGCGCAGTCCGTCCGTCCATCCGTCCGTCCCACAGAGGGTACTAAGCTCGTGAAATCAACTCCTCCTACAGTTTCCAGAGAATATCCCTGACACTCTACACACAAGATGTCGACATAATGATGATACGCATATCGCAGTCCCGTTTCATTTTGACTAATATTGACAGAGTTACTGCCCCTGTTTTACGGAGCTTCATTTGCCTAATTGTGAGAGAGGGTTCTAAGCTTGTGAAATCAACTCCTCCTACAGTTTCCAGAGATTATCCCTGACACTCTACACACAAGATGTCGACATGTTGATGATACGCATATCGCAGTCCCGTTTCAATTCGACAAATTTTGACAGAGTTACTGCCCCTGTTTTACGGAGCTTCATGAAATCTACTCCTCCTCCAGTTTCCAGAGAATATCACAATATCTAACTATAACTATAACTATAGTTAGTTTCCTTGTATAAGGCTTTTGTGGGTGAGCTACATCCTTATGGCATTAGCATTCAGACTGGATTACTCCAGACAAAATGTTCTGCACAATTTGTTTCAAATGCAGTGCCATCTACTGTTGTTATTTCATAAAATACAAAGAAAATATAAACTCATTAAAAAAAATTCATGCGGGGGATGTTGTGCTCTCAGAGCACTCTTGTTACTCTTTAATATTGGAAATAATAGGCTATGCTGATTAGGCTTCTAGTTACCAGACTTGGCCTTCAGACATAATTCTATCTCTCTTGTCACTTTAGATTCCTCGTCTGATGACGATGACAGTGTGTTTGACGAGGAACATTCCCGGGGCTTCCAGCGAGGAGGCAACAGCCGTGACAGTGGTGCTAGTTCCTCCTCGTACTCAGATGCTGGTGCCTCCCCTCATCACCAAGCCCAGGAACGTCCTCGCAGTCAGCAGTTCGGCAACTTCATCATCCCGGGAAACACAGCCAGACATGCTCTAGCAGATGTCATGCAGAACTCCAGACATTGTGAGTTGTTGGGATTCGAGGATAGTATAGGTCCTTATTACCAAGTGCTTACTGGTTAGCATGAGATGGTTACATAGTGCTCATGCTATCAACAGTTTGGTTCCCTACCCCAGACTCTTTATTTGTAGGCAGCTTGGATATAGCTGGAACTGCAGCTCAAAACATTCATTCATTGAGTTGAAATTGTGTAGATTGCATTTTTTCTAGGAATGAGACCTTTAAATTCCCAATAAGTAAAAACAGCAATTATAATAATCAAAGAAATTTGGTTCCTCTTCCTTTAGATAGGTCTATTGCTCTTGCGGTTGCATATTCTGATTTGTTGATGTTTGGGTAGCCAAGTATCGTATTTTCTTGAGTATAGTGCGCACCGATGTATAATGCGCACCCCCCTCTAGCGGATTCAGTATTTTGGAAATATAACAATCGAATATCAAGCGCAGAAAGAAATTACACCATAGATCTACCCCTTCAGCGAATTACGGTAAACAAACGGGTGATGAGAAACTTGGTCAGTATAAATTCGAAATTTCAGATAAAAAATCACCAGACATGTTGATTTACCGTTTAAATTGTATTTTTTGTTCTGCTAGGCATTGTTTTAAATCCAGGGATTAAGATTGTGTTGTGTATTTTCTCGTAAACTAAGCCGGAAACAGCAATCAGGTGTACATTTTCTTGGAATCAACTGGTGATTCAGTCAAGACACACCCAATGATATAACTTTACAGGATTTTAATGCAAGGATCTTCAAAAATTGTATCTGAAACTATTTATTTATCAGGAATAATATATTCAAATATCTTGTTAATTTAGTTGCAGCTTTAAACTAAACATATTTAAAATGATAATAACCCTAAGCGAAGCAACTGATCGCTATTGCCGGGTATTATTTTTTACATGGAACCAGTCTGACCAGTCACCGCTGAGGCTCCCGGGTACGTGATCGCGAGAACTACGTGTTGACATAGAATCGTCAAAGTATGGCATTTATGATATATTATCCATTCTCTGTCAACTAAAGTTTGTTTCAAGACGTCAATAGCTGTAATCTGATTGTGGTTGCTGTTAAACAGGATTTCGCCGAAATAAATTAAAATAATATTGAAAGGAATTTTGAATAAAATTAATGAAATAAGGTACAAACATAAGTCCAGATATACAAAGAACACTTTTTATAGCCAGACTGTGTAATTACATGATTAATTTGCGTACTTGAGTATGGATTTGTTGACATGGTATTTCCCGTGTTACGTGCTCATGGTAATGTCTTTCCATGGGGAAAAGGACCGCCTCCGTTGTCTAGTGGTAGAGCGTCCGCCCGGAGAGCAGAAGGTCTGGGGTTCGATCCCCAGCCGCGTCATACCAAAAGACGTTAAAAGATGGTACTTGTTGTTACCCTGTCTGGCGCTCGGTATTAAGGGGCTAAAACAAGGACTGGTCGGCTCGGAGTCAGTATACTGTGTCTGAGTGGGGTATTCATGTTAAACTGCGTCATGGTATCTCAGTGTCCTAGCACTATAAATCGGCATCAGTCCGGACTAGTACAAGCAGCCACACACACACACACACACACACATACACGTGCATGCATGTCGCTATATAAGTGCAATAATCTTGGACGGGACGTTAAACCCCATTTCACCTTCACCTTCCATGGGGAAAAAAAAAATCAAAACATTATTTCGTGTATAATGCGCACCCCCTTCTACACAGCTGTGTTTTTGGGAAAAAAGTGTGCACTTTACTCAAGAAAATATGGACATTTTCTTGCCTTGGAAAAGGCTTGTGTTTTCATCCCACATGGTCACTCACTCTATCAATGGTTTATTTACTTCTAGCACATCATATATCCCAGCCGCCCGATGTGACCAACAACGCCAAGAGTCTCCGCCAGGCTGACCGTGTTGGGCGCTACAACCAGTCCTCAGTCCGCATCACCACCACCGGCAACGTCACTGGCGTTGAGGATGATGGTACCAATATATGCTTTTTAGAATATGGTGTGGGCTCATATTGATAACAGCATTTGGGAGTGTATTCAGGTTTAATTGAAATTTGACACATGGATGTAGAGAAGAGGAAGATTAAGACCACAATGACCACTGAGTATGGACAGTATCTGGACATGAAGAGAATTGGTTGATTCCATGTGGCCTATCCTCAGTGACCACACTGTTGACTAGTTTGCCTTCAATATGCAGTTGAGATATGTATAGGTGATATCACTCATTGTCTTCAAAACTTGAAAGTCAAACGTTGAAAATGTTTAGGTTCTAATGAACACATCTTAGCGTTTTGATAAATGCAAACATTTATTTTATATTGCAATTATTGTTAGTTAAGCAAGTCCTGTATTTCTACGTGTTGATGTATATAAACTTCATCCTGGTTGTTCCCCAGTGAGGTTAGCTGGGAAAGATGTCAATTTTCAGCATGATTTAACTCACCTTGCAGGGCCTAGACACGGAAAAGTATCAGCAAAGATTCAACAGTTACTAAATACTCTCAAGGTAAGAGTCTGTTTAGACGAGTCTTGTTTTCCGTAATGTGAGGTAGGTCACAACATCAGAAAAAGAAAAAGGAAGATTTACTTTCAGAAGTCAAGTTTTCGCTGCTTCTTTAAAACCTGATAAGATGTGGATATAATAATCTCAGAAGATGGCTGGGCAAGACACTCATAACGGGGAATAAAAACTATACTGAAGTGAAAATACATTTGAAAACTCATCCCTTGTTTGACAAGCAGGACCAATGAAAATAGAGTTGAGATTGAAGGGAATAAAAAAAATATTGACATTTATCTGATAAATAGTTTACACAACCCCTGTTTTATTTGAAAACATCTTCTGTCAATGTTTACCACCCTGTGTAATGAGAGGTACTCTAAATATCAGCTAGACATGCGACATGTACTTCTGCTCTTGTTCAGTTCCATGTTGTCAGACCAAGGAACCATTGCAGATATTTATCATGGTTTGATTAATAATTTAATCATTTCCTTTTAGTAAATTTTTCCAGTGTAGTATCTTTTACATGCTAATGGTGGTTGTGTTAACTTTGAATCTGGGCTCTGACTTGTGTTTGAAGTGGTATGTGCTTCTTCTTCTTACAGAGACCGAAGAGAAGACCGCTGAAGGAGTATTTCATGGACGAAGATGAACACACATTAGAAAGTGAGATCCTCAGTTCTATGTTATTTGTGTTTCATGTAGTTTAAGTCTTAACTTTGTGATTATATATGTTGTCATCTACATACAGGTTGACTTCATTTTTAAAATAAATAATGGTTTGAGTATTTTGATTTAAGCACTTTCGATCGTGGGGTTCAACGTGAAGTATGATATATTCAATGATTATCACTTGAAGAAAATGTTGAAACTTGAAATTTTAGCGTATGAAACCAATGCATATTTACTCTGTCAGTGATTTGTCCTGATAATGAACGCAATGTTTTATAAGTTGTGGATATAAGTAGGAATGCTAGAAAAAGAAATGATACCTCTATACTAAATAAAATTAATCTCTGGGAATGCTGACTGTGAAACTGTGTGTGCTGTATGGTACTGTGATGCTATATGGCAATGTATTATTCTGACTGATGCAATGGGAATGTATTATACTGACTGATGCATTGGGAATGTATTGTGCAGAATGATGCAGTGGCAATGTATTATGCTGACTGATGCAGTGGGAATGTATTGTGCTGACTGATGCAGTGGCAATGTATTATGCTGACTGATGCAATGGGAATGTATTGTGCAGACTGATGCAGTGGCAATGTATTGTGCTGACTGCAGTGGCAATATATTGTGTAGACTGATGCATCGGCAATGTATTGTGCTGATTGATGCAGTGGCAATGTATTGTACTGACTGATGCCATGGCAATGTATTTTGCTGACTGATGTCATGAGAATGTATTGTGCTGACTGATGCCATGGCAATGTATTATGCTGACTAATGTCATGGCAATGTATTATGCAGACTGATGCAGTGGCAATGTATGATGCAGACTGATGCAGTGGCAATGTATTATGCTGACTGCAGTGGCAATGTATTATGCTGATTGAAGCAATGGGAATGTATTGTGCTGACTGATGCAATGGGAATGTATTGTGCTGACTGATGCAATGGGAATGTATTGTGCTGACTGATGTCATGGCAATGTATTATGCTGACTGCAGTGGCAATGTATTGTGCTGACTGATGCAATGGGAATGTATTGTGCTGACTGATGCAATGGGAATGTGTTGTGCTGACTGATGCAATGGGAATGTATTGTGCTGACTGATGCAATGGGAATGTATTGTGCTGACTGCAGTGGCAATGTATTATGCTGACTGATGCAATGGGAATGTATTGTGCTAACCGTGAGGTTTTGGGTGGATAAAGCTGACTGTGATGGCATGTCAGTGTATTAAATAGACTGTGCTGCTATGGATATGTATTATGCTGACTGTGTGCTACGTATTTGTTTTATTGTTCCAGTGCCTACTGCTGATCCTAATGCCCCCAAACCAGAGGGTAATGAACTAACACCAGTACCAGGAGAACAGCTAGTAGTAAGTCATAATCAGCACTCAAACACTATTGTGACTGTGTCGTCTTCTTATTTATCCTATTGTGATTATGGAAAAACACAAAACTCAATATCCTCTCTCTTTGATGATTTCAGTGGGACCTGATGTTTTAATGGGATGAAGATGAGCTCAAAAAACTTTCTTATTTTTAAAAAATTAATTATTTTTTTAACAAAATGACTTTCAGAAATTGCCATTAACCATTTGGCCAGTCAGGCACCTTCTAAATTCAATACAAGTTTATGCCTTCCTACTGCCTTAAGCTGACGAGATCTACATGGAATACTGTTCATAGCGGCTTTAGACCCTACTGATCAACTCACTCACTGTTGCATGTACTTTACATAGTTCCCTCTCCCCCAGATCCCGTCGGGCCTCCCCCACAACCTGGAGGCTGCACTGCAGAGATATGGATCCTCCAGCTTCAAGGCCAACGCCGTCACTGTGCTGGACCAGCATGGGAAACCTTCCTACAATCTCACATACGGTTAGTAGTATCACCACACAGCTACCATATTAGTCCAGCTTGACAAGGGAACAAGGTTCTCATGCTGTACTTGAAGTCATCATGGGAGGCTATGTTAAAGGTCAGCATCAAGCTAAGAGCTTTCAGACCTAAAATATTATGACAATGAATTCCCTTCTTCCACACCATTGCGATTGATAACTTATAAGTGACATTGCTTTGACAATTGAGACAATACTATTTGTGTTTGAAATTTTAAAAAACGTGTTGCCTTGGCTCTTTGTTTACAAGTAGCTCTGGCATTGACTTTTGTGTAGACATTGTGTGCAATGTAAATAGTGGTATGGAGTCATGTCAGTCAACAAGCTGCTGAATGATGCAGTCAACATTTTAAGCTCAACATGAAAAATCCAAATGTTGTATATTAAGAAATATTCTCATGTGTCACTTTCAAGAGTAAGATGCCATGTTCATTCAGAGTGATGATTATGTTTTGAAAAATATATTGGTTTTTGGTGTCAAATCTTCCATGAGGATTATATGTGATCTGTTACTTACTGTTTGGTAAACATTTTGTTCTCAAGAAAAAATGAAGGGTTCTTCAGCTTGGAGGCTGCTCTTTGGACTGATGTAACTGGAGTGACACATTCCCGGATTCATTTTGTTGTTTATCCTGCACAGAGTTGAGTCCAGGATAGACTAAGGTTCCCCCGAAACATTTACAAGCATGCCACTCACTATGAGAGATCTTGGATCCATGTACTGAAAACAAACCTCACTTAAATGTTTCTTTGTTCCAGGCAAGCTCCTGAGTCGGACTCAGAAAATTGCTTTCAACTTGTTGCACAAAGTAGGCCACAAGGAAGGAATGAGCATAAAACTAGGAGATAGGGTGAGGCTGGCATACATTCAGCTGGGCTCCCTGCATGATAGATGCTTGAAGCTGCTTTCCATATCCGTATTGAATAAATGTATTTCAATGCCAACGTCGTCCCTTGCAAACAAACACAATTTGGCATTCATTTCATCCAATGCAGTGTAAGAAAATATGAATGCAAGTCAAGTACAAGTAAAATAATATTTTGGCAAGTGAAGGATTTTCAGTCATTTGTTTGCCTTTTGCCTTCCTTAATTACTTGAATGTCAGAAAATATTTTCATTGAATGTGAGTTGAACACTGTGTGAAACACTGATTGATGAGATTGTTGACAGGTGGCGCTGGTGTACCCCAACAATGACCCTATCTCCTTCATCTGTGCATTCTATGGCTGTGTGATGGCGGGCGTGGTGCCGGTCCCCGTCGAGGTTCCTCTTACAAAGAGGGTCAGTGATAGACATGTAAGATCGCACTGCATTTGTGCTTTTTGCTTCTTTTCTTGTCGGACATTTTAGTATGGAATGATAAGGCTGTGAGTAGCTGGTTGTCTCCAGATTATAGAGATTTGTCGGAAATGAGTGGTGGAGGTAAATGGTTTGTGTAATTACCTAGTATACCAAAATTTGATAATGATCATCTATTTGTGTTTCTTATTGAGAAAAAGAAGCATTAAATAAGCATTATGAGCAGTATTGTCAGCAGTATTAGACACCAGAAGAGATAGCACTTGTATGTTTGTGTCACATTAGATTAGTTTTGTGTAGTCACTTAATGTCTTAATATGTCTGCTGCTGTGTCTGCCACTGCACTTAGTCAGTGTAGGTCGTCACAGGTCAAACTCATTCTGAAAATCGAATTCTTTCTCCTCCAACAGGTGTCATATATTAAATCATTGATTATTGAATGTATTGTCACAGTTGAGTATTTGTTTGTTGATATCATGTCATTGATAAAATGTGTATTTCATGTATTAATCTTCACATACTCTAATGGTTGCCACGGCTACAGGATGCAGGAGGGGCAGGTGTTGGCTTCCTGTTAGGCAGTTTGAGTGTCTGCTGGGCACTCACATCCGAGGCTTGCTTCAAAGGGCTTCCAAAGTCCAGTAGTGGAGAGGTCATCACTTTTAAAGGTAATGAGGACACTGACATGTCATGGGCAGCACCATATAAAAGTGGAATGTAGTAAAACATCCTTTCGTGGGACAGCAGCACCCTAGACAAACTGGAATAGAGTAAGACATCCACTCACATCGGGATACGCACCACCCCAGACAAACTGGAATAGAGTAAGACATCCACTCGCATTGGGATACGCAGCACCCTAGACAAACTAGAATAGAGTAAAACATCCACTCGCATTGGGATACGCAGCACCCTAGACAAACTGGAATAGAGTAAGACATCCACTCACATCGGGATACGCACCACCCCAGACAAACTGGAATAGAGTAAGACATCCACTCGCATTGGGATACGCAGCACCCTAGACAAACTAGAATAGAGTAAAACATCCACTCGCATTGGGATACACAGCACTCTAGACAAACTGGAATAGAGTAAGACATCCATTCGCATTGGGATACGCAGCACACTAGACAAACTGGAATAGAGTAAGACATCCATTCGCATTGGGATACGCAGCACACTAGACAAACTGGAATAGAGTAAGACATCCATTCGCATTCGGATACGCAGCACACTAGACAAACTGGAATAGAGTAAGACATCCACTGGCATTGGGATACGCAGCACCCTAGACAAACTGGAATAGAGTAAGACATCCACTCGCGTTGGGATACGCAGCACCCTAGACAAACTGGAATAGAGTAAGACATCCACTCACATCGGGATACGCAGCACACTAGACAAACTGGAATAGAGTAAGACATCCACTCACATCGGGATACGCAGCTCCCCAGACAAACTGGAATAGAGTAAGACATCCACTCGCGTTGGGATACGCAGCACCCTAGACAAACTGGAATAGAGTAAGACATCCACTCACATCGGGATACGCAGCTCCCCAGACAAACTGGAATAGCATGAGACATCCACTCGCATTGGTATACACAGCACTCTTGACAAATTGGAATAGCATTAAACATCCACTCATGGGATGCGCAGCACTGTAGTCAAAGTGGAAATATGCCAACACAAACACAGACATATATAGTGCATTATGTTACCTTAAATTCTTGTGTGTGACAGGAACAGGGGAAGTGAGGCTCTTTACCTTGATGCTGTTTGTGTCTTATTTACAGGTTGGCCGAAGTTGAACTGGTTTGTGACAGAAAATCTGAGTAAACCAACCAAAGACTGGCAGCCACCCTCCAAGGGAGAAGATGTGCCAGCATATATTGAAGTAAGTATTGGATTTGATATGAAATTACCATTACATGTAAGGGACATGGTAAGTTGAGTAGACTGAGTTTCATCCCTTTGCAGTACCAGGATCCACTGATCATAGATTTGAATCGCCAAAGAACCTGTTCCTAATACACCTAGTAATAAACTCTCCCTGAGTTTCGGAAACCCTTAATCACTTAGGTGTATCTTTCTGTTATGTTGTTGCAATATTTGTCACATTCTTAATTTTGTAAGTGAGGTTTGACTCTGTGCTTTAAGATGGTGGTGTCACCTCAGGCAAATGACTTTGTACGTAATATGCCTCTGTTCACCCAGCAGTGAATGGGTACCTGGTAGGATTAGATGGTAATGTGACAGTTAACCTTCTAACGCCTCACAGGCAGCTTGGGTTGTATACTTCCCGGGGAGCTGAGAATGGAAATCGAGTGCACACTGACCCATTGACTTGGGTAATGATATTGTAGCGCTGTGAGCATCCACCTATAATAATAATAATAATAATAATAATAATAATTAATAATAATAATATGCTGGATAAGCTCAAGCTTGATGCTCAAGAACCATCTTCCAATTTTGTCTAAAAAAATGAACGTAAACTGTGAAAAAAGTGAGTACATCCATTAAGCCTTGATCATCGGTTTCCTTTCAGTACACAATAAACAAAGACGGCAGCACAGTGGGTGTAACAGTCACAAGGAACACCATGTTTTGCCATTGTCGGACTCTGACCGTCGGCTGTAACTACTCCGAGGGTGAGCAGCTGCATTGCATCAAGTATTATAGGACATGCCTGTTGACTTGTTCTACCACCACCTCCATTGACTCCAAGCTCCTAATAACATGGTCTTTTGTCATGTACCAACTTGTACAAAGCAAACTTAGCCCTTAGACTGTTGTTTGTGTAGCTTAAGGTACAGGGATTGATCAGCACATTGTTTATTTTAAAAAAAATTCTTTCCATTATCATGATTTTATCAGATCTCTGTCAAGAAATTAGCGAAATATATTATAACTGAAATGGATTTTGATGTAATAATGTTTTCCAAAAATTAAACATTTTTGGTTGAACAACTATTTTGAGAATTTTTGTAATTTGATTTCTTGGTTCAGATAGTGAAATCAGCCCTGTTAAAATTGTGACAACTTTATGAAACTTTATGCATTTGTTTTCTGTTTTAGGCGAGGTGATGGTGTGTGTGCTAGACTTCAAGAGGGATGTAGGGCTGTGGCACGGAATCCTCTGTGTGAGTAGAGAGGGAATTCTGTTGATGAGACAGGTTATTTTCAAAGTTATGTGCAATTCATTGTTGCCTTATTATTACAAGATGGCTACTTCTCATTGGAACTCCTGATGAGCAGATCAGCATCCTTTAGCTGTATAGGAATAGAGTTTGGGATTTTAATCCCGGTTTCACCCTTCAATCTATCCTTGTCTGTTCCTAGAGGTTTCCCCCAACTGGTAAATGTCACTTTCATTTGGGTTACCGTTCTCCATACCCTGTCACGAGTGATGTACTGTTCAAATTGAACCTCAACTCATTCACCATTTCTTTTGTTTTTCAGAGCGTATTTAATGGAATGCATGTGATATTTATTCCCTACTCCCTGATGAAAGTGGACCCAGCATCCTGGATGAAGATGGTGACAAAATATAAAGGTAGACTCTTGCAGAACTTTGCTGTTCAGGCATGTGTTGTTGTTTTTACTTGTCTTACTTTCAGAAATGTTGAATACACTTATGATTATGAGAAAAGTAACATTGTTTTTCATGACAAGTCTGTGAATATATTTCACTAGTATAGTTAATAATATCAAGCTATGTAATGTAAGTTGTAAATAAGACAGTTTGTGTGTTAAAATTGTTACTGTTGCTTACTGATTGACATGGCAGATATCTTGGCTCCAAGATAGTTGTAATACTGGATGTGGAGCTTACATTTTTACCCTACCTACTGTAATGTTTAGTCACCTTAAAAAATTAATGTTTTGCTGTTTTGACTTAATTTCAACCACAGACCCTGTGTTTTTTAGAAAAAAGATCTGTAAACCAAGTAAAATAAATAGACTCTACTGTCAGACTCCACATGTAGCAATACAGTGGGGGAGAGAACAGGAGTGAATAGCTTACTTGGGGTTAAACAATGATTGTTGGGACACTGAGTGAACACTCCACCCACTGGAATCCCTTGATGCCTCTTGAAGGACTTTGTCAGACATGATTGATGTGTGGCCGATAGGTATTGAAACAGAAGGCACTCCATATTTAGGAAGGATTTTGTGATTGAATAGGTTATATGTCAAAATTCACAATATTAGAGTAAATGTCCAGTGGCTGTATCCTTTGGCTATAGAATATAGGTAGAATATTGCTGGGATGACTCTCACTGCTGTTGAAAGCAACATTCTTCCACCACATCTACGTCTCAGTACCTGATTGTTTGGAACCATAAGATCCCCCAAGTTGGAGTGATGACAGAATCAGCGAATCACATATTTTGTCCCAGTTTCTAATGGCCTCAAGTATGACATCAGTAAAATTCCAATCAAGTGTTACCAGCCTAGGACCCCCATGTTCATGCCATGGACCCACCCAATATTATTACTGAGAAACAGTGGACTTACAACAGACTGCTGCCCCCTTCAGAGCAGCGATGCATGGTCAGACAGTCTGGAATTGTGTTGAATTTCATGACCTGGAGTGAAAAGGTTGCTGCCCTGCCATGGATATAGTGAGAGATGGTTGATGGCTCTGAATGGTGCACCAGCTACAGCTGACGGACATGTTTGTTGTTGCAGCATGTGTGGCGGTGGTAAAGTCTCGAGACATGCACTGGGGGTTGTTGGCGCAGAAGGACCACAAAGACATCAGCTTTACCTCGTTACGAATGCTCCTAGTGGCTGACGGTGCTAACCCCTGTAAGTATATTGGTAGTCTTTCCATCATCCTACAGTTGCCAAATGTGTTCTTCTTTAATCAGTCATATTTATTGTGACCATTTTTACGGAAGTGTGAATTAAGATTTCTCATCACGTCTGCAATATTTCGTCAATATAATGATGCAGCTTATACATAATAAAAATCTAAGTAACAGAAGTAACTGTCTCTAAGTAACAGAAGTATCATTCTCTAAGTAACAGAAGTAACAGATACTAAGTAGCAGAAGTAACAGATTCTAAGAAACAGAAAGACAGTCAAGTTAATGTCACAAATTATAATTGTCAGGCATAATTGGTAGGTCAACTGTAAAATATGTTTTGACAACTATATAAGCTGCTTTTAATTGAATTATTTTATACACTTATTTACAACTTGTTTACTAAGCCTATTTTTGTTAACTACCTGAAATTCAAACATGGCTGAAATAAGATCGACACAGACTTCATGGAGGCAGTTTTAATGTTTACTAAATGATCTTTTGTTTGTTGCAGGGTCTTTAACATCCTGTGATTCATTCCTAAGTGCTTTCCAGGCCAAAGGCTTGAAGGCCGATGCCATCTGTCCGTGTGCTAGTTCCTCAGAAGCGCTCACCGTCTCAGTCCGCAGGTAGGAGCTGTTTCCTGGTGCTGCAGAAAGAAACCTTACTGTATACATGTCTGGAGTGTCCCTTGCTCGCATTAATAAAGTGATGTATTTTTATATGTATTGGGGTATATTGTCAAGCCAGGGTCACTGCACATGGGCGGAAACATTGACAGACATCTATATAACACAGCTCACAATAAACAATGTAATTGAACAGTAGTTCATTTGTTTTTATAGTTCAAAGGCAGGGCTACTCACATTAATTTCATGCTGCATTTTAAGCTAGGGGAGACACTTCCATGATTACAGTATTTACTGCTGATGAAGGATTAGAACTGTAAAGTACAACCTGCTTTGTTTCTGTCTCAACTTGTCGCCTTGTACTAGCACCAAAGAACTAAAAGTCTGGATGTGAAATGATGCAATTGTTAAGAATTTGAAGATACTGATGCTGATTAAGGACCTTGTGTCATCTGTTTATCTGTGATGATGTATTACCCTCTCACCCTATAGGCCGGGGAGAACCAGCAGCAGTGCTACAGGGCGGGGCATCCTCTCCATGCAGGGGCTCAGTTTCGGGGTGGTGCGAGTTGACAGTGAGAACAGTCTCACATCACTGACACTACAGGACTGTGGACAGGTCATGCCAGGGGGTACGTCCAGCGGGGAAACAGGAAAACCTTTTTTCAGTGATTCATTATATGTCTGAACGCAGATATACAAATACCCTAACCATATGTTTTGGAAGCGTTTTATGTTCTGCTATTAAGAATGTAATGAATGAAAGGCTATTGTTCATCATATGTGTTTTGTCCTGACAAAATCATCTCCTTTGATATGAAACTTTACACTGTTACGTATTTTGTATATTGTCATGTTCTTTTGAAAGTGATATTTTTTAGATATTACAATCACAAAAATTTTGACAGTTATTATTGCTGATTGATCAGATATGGAAGCTAAATGTACATAGACACACACACCTGTTTCTGTTGTAGCTGTGATGGTGGTGATTCGGTTGGAGGGTGCCCCCTACCTGTGTAAGACGGACGAGGTTGGGGAGCTGTGTGTGTGCTCCGGCTACACAGGGGCGGCATACTGGGGACTTCAGGGACTCAGCACTGCAACATTCCAGGTACTGGGACACACATGGGGTTTAATAGTGATGACACATGTCTATTATAGCCAGGTGTTGAATGAGGCCATGGAAGTAGATTTACCCCAACTGTTGCAAACCTTGTGTCAACCTTACCATTGCCTCATATTGAAGCAAACAGCAGAGTAGATGACAGCAATCAGTACTTGTGGGTATCCCACTCACTAAACATGGAAACTAAACCTCAAAGAAGTCATTTGTATTTATGGATGATGGAGGAATGGTGTGTATACAGATTCGTTAAGCATTGACGATGGTCATCTCAATTTGGGTGTCAATAATATATATTTTTTAACTTATCCTGCATTACTCCGTATTGCATTTACTGCTATGTTTGACAGAGAGACGAACTGTGTGAGATCCAGCTGCTGAAGAAAGTTGTCCCAACCAGCCCAGGAGGCAGCGCCCTCTCACAGTCGGCACGTGACCCGGAAGTCATGACGTCACACCAAAAGACATAACTGCTTTGTCACCTCCACGGACGGACGTACTTTGTATCCCTTGTGGAAATTAAAGCTTATTATTTGTTTTTTATATTTTGCGTGTTTCTACATTCATTATATGCTGCTACATTGTTACCTGTTATGGGCCGTGACCTTAGGGTCTTCCCATTCGTAAATTGTAACGTTTATCGCTCGTCTGTGGCTCACGTCACAGTAATTTACGGGCGCAATGTTGTTCCCGCCATTTTGTTTTCTTTCCCGCCATTTTGGCCATTCACCACGTGGCCACGTAATGTCGTGTTCTGCGTTTTGAATTCTCTCTTTGGCTTGGGTAATACATTACATTTATGTATGTTGTTTTGGTGTGCTTAAAGCCTTGCCTTTTCGCTACCTCTCAGCGTAATTGTTTCTTCTCATAAACTTCAATATAATACGAAGTTTATGAGTTACATTATGTCTCCCGTACTCTGTGGTTTTGCCACATGGTTACGTGTTTGCTTAAGGCTTTGCCTTTTCACTCCCTTTTAGCGTACTTGTTTATCTCATAAACTTTAATAAAATATACTGTTTTTGAGTTACTTTATGCTTCCCATACTTTGTGATTGGCCACACATTATGCTTCCCGCACTTTGTGGCTTTGCCACTTAGTTATGTTTTGCTTAAATTCCAGATTTTCTGCCTTGCTGCACTTGTTTCCGCGGGAACAAATCTGGTCGGGGCCGCCCCTTTCTGCCGTGATTGTACGACGCCCTGTACTTTCACAAGGCAGTGCCGATGTTGCAGTCATTCGTCGCTGTGATCCTTCAGCTCATGCGAGTATCCAGGACACACCTCGCTCAACGTGCTCGTCGACCCCCACCTACGTTGACGGCAGCAGCGCTCAGCGGAGCTTCACGGCGGCTCCCAACGTAGAGTCTGCCTCCCATGGCACGACATACGACCGTTCACGGTCTCCTACTCCACTGGCGGCTCCAGCGCTCCCAACGTAGAGTCTGCCTCCCATGGCACGACATACGACCGTTCACGGTCTCCTACTCCACCGGCGGCTCCAGCGCTCCCAACGTAGAGTCTGCCTCCCCTGGCACGACATACGACCGTTCACGGTCTCCAACACCGTCAACGCTGATGTCTCCGGCGCCCCCGGCGCCTCCGATGACTCGGCGCCTCAGGCGCCTCCGGCGCCTCTGATGACGCGGCGCCTCCGGCCCTTTGATGACTCGGCGCCTCCGATGTCTCGGCGCTCCCGGCGCCTCTGATGACGTGGCGCCTCTGATGACACGGCGCCTCCGGCGCCTCTGATGACTCGGCGCCTCCGATGTCTCGGCGCTCCCGGCGCCTCTGATGACGCGGCGCCTCCGGCGCCTCTGATGACACGGCGCTCCCGGCGCTCCCGGCGCCTCCGGCGCCTCTGATGACACGGCGCCTCCGGCGCCTCTGATGACTCGGCGCCTCCGATGTCTCGGCGCTCCCGGCGCCTCTGATGACTCGGCGCCGCTGATGTCTCGGCGCTCAACAAGCTTCATGACAAGCTGATGACTCGGCGCCTCTGATGTCTCCGCGCTCCGGCGCCTCCGCATCCTCTGATGTCTTTGGCGCTCAACAAGCTTCAGATCAACAAGCTTTATCAAGCTCAGATCAATGAGCCGACCATCTGATCTTCTACTGCGGCTTAAGGGGCACCATCGGCAATCGCCTCCCCGGCGCCACTGCCCTCTTCTCTTGCTGCCGTCTCATAACTCGTCACACGGAGAAGCATGGTGAAACAACTGTCGCCGCTCCTGTCGCTACTCTCCCGTCGGTCTTCGGGATCGTGACTATCGTTCTACTTCCTGGGTGGAATCATTTCAACCAATAGACAGTTGGTCTGATTCAACTTGCCCACTGAGACGTTATCCATAATCCTGTCGTTTAAAGCGCTATGATTCCGGAGAGATGACCTGCAGGTTTCCATCAAAACAGAGCGTCATGTGAACAGCGTCTGTATCAGATTCGACGACGACATCCACTTACAAAGAGTTTACTTCGTCGACATCGCAGACATCAACGCTGTTCTACCCTACCCTAGCGCCAGCGTTCCTGAGAGAGACTCTTCCTCGGCGCTCCCCGGGTTTTCCACGACGCCCATGGGGTTCCGTGTTTTATCGCAAAACTCGGGTACACCACTTGATCGTCTCTCACACAGTTCATTGAGGATTGTCTGTGTGTGGAGTTTACACCTCAGTTCCGACTCCAAGGCGGTTTTCTCGGCTACTGCGCAGAGTGATTTACATGTCACGTGTCAAGTACTCGGACTGTCAACAACTCCGACCGGATTTAGGTCAACTTACCATGGCAAGGGGTGCCATGTATTTCTACAGATTGGTTTCCATGTCTACCTGTACGCTTGGTGATACCACTCAACCAGGCGCCTGTCGCAGTCCATCCATGCACGGATGTTGGAAACAATAGACCTCCTCTACCAACACGGCTGTCACGAGGAACCTTGTTTCATCAACCCTTCGCTATAAGAACGATAGCGCCTATAGGCGTTCAAGGGATGGAAAAGATCGCCTTCCTTCGTCTGGTTTGATCTTTTCGACTACGACACCTTCCTATCTTCCGCCTTGACTACCGGACACAGTGTCGATTTGATACTTAAAGTCCCTCGGCCGTCCCACTGACCCCTGTTGCATACCTGCCTCGTATCGTGTTGTCGTCCTCCATCGTCACCTCGATATAAGAACAGGAGTACTTATACGCCGCTTCAGGGATGAAAACGATCTCATTACTTCGTGCAATGGCCATATTGCCTCGACTTCCTACTACCCGGTTACGTCGATGCCCCGGCGGTCGATTGTGAAGCTGGTTTACTTCGTCTACTTGAGGTTGGCTCGAAGGCGATCACACCTTTTTCCGAATCGTACCGACGGTACGCAATCGCAGACCCCTGTTGCTGACGACCTCCCCTGCCACCTTGTCAGTGGCTAGTGGCCCACGCCAGCCCACATTGTGACCACCTGTGATCCAGAGATCAACACCATTGGCACAGCAACAGCCTCGAGATAAATGCTTATCCAGGACGGCACTTGCTGATAGTGCATTCTCGGTCACGCCCTGTTGATCGTGTCCACTGACGACGTCACCGTAGTGTGGTGTTTGCGGACCCAGAGTTCTCGCCCCTCTCCCGGCGCCACAAACTCGACCGGCGCCCCCGAGAATCACCATCTTCGGCGTTCCAGGCGCCTCAAGCTCTCCGACGCCTCACGCTCTCCGGCGCCTCGGGCCAGACTATGTGAAACGGTCGACACCCCAACCCTAGATCTGTTTGCCTCATATCTGAATGTGGCCAGCTGTCGTCTTCCATTCCACCTGTGCCGGATACGACCGCTGTGGCAGTCGAAGCCTTCCATCGTTCCTGAGAAGGATTACGCGCGTACGCTTTTCCGACTCCGGTTCTCCCTCCCACGGTTCTTCAGAGATCCAGGCCACTCGACACCTGCCATTGACTTTGGTCTCGCCTTATTGGTCAGCCAGAAGTTGGGTTATCGACCTCCGAAACATAGCCAGAGACAACCCCTGGAACTTCCGGTGTGGTCCAACCTTCTGCTCCATCCACACGGTCTGTTGCCACACCCTCATACCCGCATGTTATCGTCTGCACGCCTGACACACATGCAGAAAGCCAAGGGCTATTCGGCTAGAGCGACCAAGGCTATTGCTTCAGCCCACCGTCCATCTACAGGGGGACTGTATGCTGATAAATGATGCTTGTTCCAGGCATTTTGTTCTGACAAACACCAGGATCCGATGACAGCGTCACCGCAGATCCTGGATCAGTTCCTTCTGTACTTGTGTAGCACCCATCGGTTGAAGGGCTTACCACCCCCACATACCTGGTCGCCATCTACTCCTTTCTGGCCATCCCGGACGATCGGAGAAAGACGAAAATTCCCGACCTACGGGCCTGGCTGCGCTCGTTCAGTCTTGAAGACCTGAAGACCAAGTTCGGACCGCCTGCGTTGGATCTGAATGTGGTCTTCAATGCCCTTCGAACCACTCCCCTCGTCTTCCTTCTTCGACCTTAAGTAGAAGACGGGTGTTTCTACTGGTTTTGACTACTGCCGCTCGAGTCCATGTACAGCACGCCCTCGACGTCTCCCATGCCCGGTTCGAATGCGGTACCCAGGGCGCCGCGTTCATCCTGGACCGTACTGGGACGTCAGCGTAAAGACTCAACTCCCAGGACAGCCTGATAGATCATTCCTTGTCCCCTCCCCCCTCGTCCAGTGTGGGTGCCGAGGATGAGGATGAGCGTCATTATGCCCAGTAAGGGCACTGAAGGTTATTCTACGATCTAAAGACTGCCGCAAGTCTAGGAAACACCTTTTTCTGCCGGTCTCCCCTTCGTCGCTGTCGTTGGTCAGCCGGAATACTTTTCCCTGTGGCTCCGGGCGGTCATCCTTAAAGCGTATGAGCCGCCGGATTGGACCCTCCCCCCAAAGGCTATTACCTGAAATAAAATGAGATCAGGGCGATCGTATTTACACTGGTCCTTCACGGTATACTGTTCCATCCCGTCGTTCAGGGAAGCCTGTTCGTGGCGATCGGACACCGCCTTCACCAACCACTACTTCCGTGATGTAGCCTTGAAAGTTGTCGCCGGCGTTCACAGTTTTGGTCCCTGGTTGTAGCCCAACAGGTCATCTATCTCCGACGCCACTGATTCTCCGATACCCTGAGCGGGGCCCGTCGACCTTTCTGGTGTTTATCACCCCAGACGAGACGGCTCTCTTGCGTTCCGCATTCGCTCTTAGGTCAGTTTTAGTTTTGGGTTACCCGACTCATTCTATTGCTGTCACCTATCCGGGTTTTACTTTTTGCATCAACTCTCGTTTCCTGACGACAGGAATGGTAGTAGATGTGGACACCGGCGCCGACGCCAACGCCGCTTCTCTGGTACCTGAGCGGTGCCCGTCGACCTCACCGGTGTTCCTTGCCTCCAGCCTAGAGGGCTCTCCTGCGTTTCGCATTCGCTGTTGGGATTGGTCGTAGATTTTGCCGCCGACACCGCTGATTCTTCGATTCCCCGAGCGGGGCCCGTCGAACTCTCTGGTGTTTATCACCTCAGATTAGCTCTAGGTTCTACTGCGTTTCGCTTTCGCTCTTCGGTAAGTTATATATTTTGGCTACACGCCTCATTGTATTTCGGTTACCTATTCGGGCGTTTCGTTTTTGCATCGACTCTTGTTTCCTGAAGACAGGAATGGTCGTAGATGTTCCGGTCATCACTTGTATGCGGTGCGGATTCATCGGACCTTGACGAGGGTTTAATATGGTTCACATCTGCAAGTATGCCCACCGGCCAAGCCGTCTGATAAAGATGCAATACGGAGTAATGCAGGATAAGTTAAAAAATTTAGTAAAATCTAAATATTTTTTACATTTGTATACTTATCCTGCATTACGAAGTCTAAGTGCCCTCCCTTTCGCTACGCTACCTCCCCACGAAGTTTCAGATGTTATGTTTAAAGCAGTTATGTCTTTTGGTGTGACGTCATGACTTCCGGGTCACGTGCCGACTGTGAGAGGGCGCTGCCTCCTGGGCTGGTTGGGACAACTTTCTTCAGCAGCTGGATCTCACACAGTTCGTCTCTCTGTCAAACATAGCAGTAAATGCAATACGGAGTAATGCAGGATAAGTATACAAATGTAAAAAATATTTAGATTTTACTAAATTTCTATCCATACTTAAGACAAAGTTTCTTTGAGTGTTTGAAAATGAAACATCGTAATGCAAGTTATCTTGGTCTGGATGAAGCAGATGTTTGATGTGATGGTGTACTTTTAGGTTCAGCCCCTGCACAGTGATGGCCGACTGGCTGCAGACAAGATGTATGTGAGGACAGGGCTCATTGGATTCCTTGGACCAGTAAGTAATGCTGTCTTTGCACATTCCTTTTAAACTTGTCTTGAACCAGTCTGTAGAAACAGAACCCACAAAAGATGGGACAGAAATACGTATGTGGTTTGATAAGTGTTTGATCAGCATTAACCAGTCACCAAACATTCAGAGGATGTGACAGAATAGTGAAAGTAGTAAATGTCTTCGACCTGTCACTTTCTGCAAGTATTAGGTTAACACGACATCTGTGTTAGGGTTATGCCCGATGTCAGTCACTCTGTTTGTTTTTACTGGCAACTAAGACTGGATTTTAATCCATCTGGGTACACAGTCCTTGCTTGGATAGAATACCTGGTAGAGACTTGAAGTATGGCATTGAGACACTGGTGTGACTACCCTGTACATACTGCTGCTGTGTGTTTTCCAGGGCGGGCTTGTGTTTGTGTGTGGCAGCAAGGAGGGACTGATGCAGATAGCAACTAGACGACACAACACTGACGACATCATAGCTACTGTGTTAGCTGTGGAACCTATGAAGTTCATCTACAGGGGCAGGTAGGAACATATCTCCCAGTTAGCTGGATGAAACTCATCTTACAAATTGTAAAGTTCATGCCATTATCACATGCCTGATAACTGTCTATAACAAACATTTGTGTATGTTTTGTAGCCTTAGTGTTCAAATCCCATATGTAGATATACCAGTCTTACCTTGTGATTTGCTGGTTCCTTTCAGTGTTTTGTAATAGTGTAGGAGTAGATGTCATCTCCCTTGAAAAGGGACATAGCTAATGATTATTGCTTGTTTTCTTAATCAGTTTGTTTCTGAGGCTATGAGCTTTCAACTTTTAGTTGATAGGAATTTAATGATTTAATTTTCTGTTTTGGTGGGTTGGCAGTGGACATTTGATAGTTTTGGTTATGGAAAACATGAAACTAAAGCAAAAAATATTTCCTAATATAGGGGCACGGTTGGCCCTGTCGTCTAAGGCACCGCAATTCGCTTTGCTGAGTTGTGTCCCTTTGTGTCAGAAACCTATGAATGTGGGTTCGAATCCCGGTTCACCCCGATTATGTGTCTAGGTTTGTCAGCACCATACCCGTGCTCATGGGTTTCACCAAAGTGATAAACGTCTGAGACCTGAAAAGCGTTGCTAAACCCAACTCACTCACTCACTCACTCACAATTCCCTAATATGCATGTTGAAACCTGTTTCAGGATTGCGGTGTTCTCTATCAGTGTATTGAAGGATGAGAGGATCGTGATCATAGCAGAGCAGAGGCCAGACTGCACAGAGGAGGAGGTAGGACCTGACACCTGTCATGGACAATCAGGGGTTGGCAGTATGGGGCACTTCAATTCTGTGTGCTTGGGTCCATTCATTAGTGATGCCAGGATCCATGAATCATGAGTTCAAATGCTAGATTCCCCCAGATTATGATCTGCCTCCTTCTTGCTCATACTTGTGGTTTGCAGCAAAGTCGTCAACTTTAGTCTTTTTGTTTATAGCTGACACACTATATATACAACTATTGTTCTGTCTGGCATTAACCCCACGTCACTCAGTTGTACTACACAACCTGTGTTTGGAAACTTAACTAGAACTTGAGTAACTTTAATGTACTGAAATATTGAACAGTTGTATTTAACTCTGTCTATGTGTAAATGTTTGTGTTCTGTGGCTAAAATTAATAAACAAAACAAAAATAATAATTTGAGGTTATTATATATATGTAGCTGATGCATTGATACCACAAGCCTGTGGTTTGATCCCAATGATGTGTTTGCTATATAGTTGTGTCGGTTGAGCTATCTCCAGCTATCTACAGGGGCTGGCCTCCCTTCCTCCCCTCTCTACCCCTCCACACACACACTTACACACACATGCCGAACTAGGATAAACCATTAATAGGAAATGTGATCTGAGAATTTCCCTGGGTCAGAGTCCTGTCAAAGATGTGTCCTACTTTCTGATAGTCATTTTCCAGTTAGGATTCTGGTAGCCAGGCCTTGATTATTTCCGGTGGTTATGCTATAGGCAGAGTACTGCAACACTGTGTGATTCCTGCTGCTGTATGTAGTGTATATCTGTTGCAGAGCTTCCAGTGGATGAGTCGAGTCCTCCAGGCTGTGGACAGCATCCACCAGGTCGGCGTCTACTGTCTGGCACTTGTCCCACCCAACTATCTGCCAAAGGTGAGTCAGTATTGATGGAGGAGCTCGGGCACTTGCTTACTTACACGTGTAGTGACTCATTATACCTGGTACTATCTGTGATTTAGGCCTCTAGTTGAAGCCGGGTCTACTAGAGTTTCTTTCAGTCGGATAAACAGAGCTAATAATAGCCCTTATAGTAACACTGAATGTACTTAAAATATTGTCATGAGACATGTTGGGGTTGGTTGACTCCGAAGGTTTTGGCAAAGACTGGTGCTGATGAAATTAGGATTTTGTGTTCACAATGATGAATAGTACTGTATTGGCAACAAGGCCAATTCTCACTGTGAATACATCCGACCTTGGTAGTCATGGCTACATGAGTTTCCTGCTGTATAGAACTATTGAGTTTCTAGCATTGCATACAAGTTTGACCAAATTGCAGCACTTGTATATTACAGCAGTTTGTCATTTCCCCTACATAACAGCCAAGAAGTTAGATTGTTTAAGGTTTTATATTACTTGTAAAGTGCTGATGTCACGAGTTATCTCCCTTTGCATAAAGATGTTTTTAACTAGGGAACCATTTCATCATTGTTCTAATTGTACCAGAGTTTCAGGTTGGTCCATATTTTAGACTACTGCCATTGCTAATATGTCCAATCAAATATGTATGAAATGATGAAAAAGTTTTGAAGCAGCGTTTCAATAGCCAAACTCCACTGCATGTAATGTGTGTTTGTATTGATGTATGTATGGATGGGTGGATGGATGCATGCATGTACAACAACAACCAAACTGTTATTTCATGATTGATATTCAGTAAATTTCTACTCTGAGATTGAAGTCATCTCAATCAGTTTATCTCTGCTTTACAGACACCGCTGGGAGGAATCCACCTATACGAAACCAAGAAGAAGTTCCTGGAGGGCTCGTTGCACCCAGCCAATGTGTTGATGTGCCCTCATACCTGCGTGACGAACCTACCCAAACCTCGGGAGTTCCACCCAGGTATGCAAGGTGTGACAATTCCCAATTTTCTTACCAATACTCACTCTGCACAGGACACCTCTGAGAAGAAGAAAAACTATATCTGAAAGTTTTATATTGAGTTGTTTTTCTCAGTGATGAGTGACAAGAGTATCATGATCTGAAAATCGAGAAAGTCCACTTGACAGCTTACTGTTTGACTACTCATTTGAATGTAATGCCATATTTATTCCTCATATTATTCCTTATTCAGTTTCACATTTATCATGATCAGTCATATGATGCCTGCACAGAATCTTCTCAGGAATCTATATAAAAGAAATTAACTTTTATTTTAAAATTGTCAGCGTATATGAAGGTATGAAAAATATAGGTATATCTGTTTTTCATGTTAATTTTATTTAGTAAAATAATGTAAAGTTCACCAGTCTAGATTTGTAATTGTCACAAGGTGAAATCTACATATAATGATCATCTGTCCGAGCTGTCAAATGGATGTACATACACTTGGAATCTATTTCTTAAAGGTGGCCTATGTGGTAGCTGTGGTTTTTGCATGTGATACATTCCGTTTCATCAGTCCCTATTTTTGTTGCAAGGTTAACCTGAAATACCAACAGTGCCTTGGGAAACTTGCTTAGAACTGATACAGTGTAGTTTCTTCCTAACAGTAAATTCTGCTTTTTCAAGTTTTCTACTGTATGCAACATTCTCTAAATGCTGAACTAGTTGCACTTTAAAGGGCTGTGTTGGTACTTCAAACTGAATTAAGAATGTCAGCTAGTTAGCAGTTTTCATTATTTTGATTTGTAACTGCAATTTTGATTGATTTTAATGCATATTTGTGTGATATGTTTAGAAATATGCTCTGGGGCAATTTGAATACACATATATAATTTTAAGCCTGGGACATAAGTACAAACTATATTTTGATATATTGGGTGGAAGGTATTTTGAAAAGAATTATGACATACGTTTTTGACAACAATTAATCTTTATATCTAGTTATTAATGACCTGAAAAGTCTGATTGACAGAGGAGGTAAATTAAAATTGACTTGCCGCATTTTGCATGATAGCAAATCCCTGTTCTGAGTCCAGTCTTTGTTGTGTATAGTTTGTATAGAATGCGATGTTGTTTGATGGCTTTGCAAAACCCTGACCTGCTAATCCACCCTCAGTAATCTAGTAATCTCAGTCATGGTCACAAGGGTAATATATCCACAGCCCTATCCTCTCTTGTTTTCTACAAACCTAGATAATAATATATATTTTCCTATCTTTTTTCATTTTCCCACTTTTTAGATCTTTCCACTTTCCAGATAGATTGTTAGACCATAAGATATAATATTGTCATACATGTCAGTAATGATAATATAAGAATAGTCTTCTTGGTAGTATTTTAAGGAATAAATGGTAAAGTGATGTCATGCCCTTTTGTTAATTTCATAAAGCATTGTTGATTGCAGAATGTCAATTTGAAGCTTATACATAACTGCATGCTGATGATATGAGCATAGATGTTTGCTTGTGTGTGTTTCATCTCAATGGCTCACCTCATTTCCTTTGCTAATTCTTTGCTCACATTTTCTCTGGTAGCATTTGACGCCAGCCCGGCTGACCTTCCATTTCACAGTGGTGAGACTATAGTTAATCCTGACGTCGATGTCGCCTATCGATAATTCAGATGTCGATATCACCTTTTGATAATTCTGATGTCGATATCCCTTTTTGATAATCCTGTTTGTCAGTATCACCTTTTGATAATTCTGATTTCATTCTGCCCAGACTTGATGCTGTTGTTCTTAATCTATCCATGAGGCTGATTTCTCTGTCTATCCTCACATCACTGACAATTAACCCTGAAGATGAAGCCACTGTTGACGTTGATGTCACCTTTTGAAAATGGTGATGTCGATGTCGCTTGTTGTCGATGTCCGATGACATGTCACAATGCAGTTGCTCTTGATGTTATGTTGCAGGGCGTGGATATAGCACTTGCACATTCTCTACACGCCAAACTGCCTCCAAATGTGTAGCCACAACTAGATCTAGTTAACATTGCTTGTACAAAATGATCAATTAAATGAAAATATTCTGAACTATTGAATGTAATAAGTTCAATTTCTTCAACTTTTTTGCCAGAAATCAATGTATAACTTATTTAACTGACGTTTACTAGATTTATTTCATGATGTGATTGTTTATCCCTTTATTGTTTCAACAACAAATTGGTATGTGGAGATCTTTAAGCTCAGACCTCCCTCCACAAATCCATCATAGCACCATGTCTGTTGTTACTTCCTTGTAAACATATGCCAGTCATCAATCTAAGACGGCTTTGTGGAATGGGGAACTGATTGACCATTACCTTTGTGCTTTCAAAACCATTGTATATTGTGTACCTGTACTTGTGAATACTATTGATGTGTGTATCTCTTGATAGCCACTATCCTCAACCTACTCCTTGTGTAGTTTCCTAAATCCTTTGTGATCAATAAAGCTAATGAAAGTTGATTAGAGTCAGATTGTGTCTAGCTGCTGCCATTAAGATGTTCCTCTGTTTTTGTTGTGCTCAATATTCATGCAGCATTTTCTGACTTTTCAGATGTGACCCCATCAGCAGTCCATGTGGGCAACATTGTACAGGGAGCCCGCATGGCGTGGGCACAGGGGCGTGATCTCGGGATAGGAGAGGAGGATGGGGATGCTTCTAGGAAGGTGACTGGCGTCATGTTTTGAAATATGATGTAACCATGACAGACAAATTTAATAGTAACTACAAACTTCAAATGAAAAACAAAACAAAACAAGACAAAACAAAATCTGTAAAACAATAACAATTACCATTGGTCTGGCCTAGATATTGACTCAATAATAGGAATACCTCATTGTAACATCTGACATTGTTCTTCAGGCATCAGTGTGACCCTGTTTGTTGTATGTGACAGGTGACATGGCTTCAGTGTAAGGCCTGATGTGACCCTGTTTCTTGTATGTGATAGGTGACATTGATTCAGTGTAAGGCCCAATGTGACCCTGTTTGTTGTATGTGACAAGTGACATGGCTTCAGTGTAAGGCCCAATGTGACCCTGTTTGTTGTATGTGACAAGTGACATTGATTCAGTGTAAGGCCCAGTGTGACCCTGTTTGTTGTATGTGATAAGTGACATTGATTCAGTGTAAGGCCCAATGTGACCCTGTTTGTTGTATGTGACAAGTGACATTGATTCAGTGTAAGGCCCAATGTGACCCTGTTTGTTGTATGTGACAAGTGACATTGATTCAGTGTAAGGCCCAATGTGACCCTGTTTGTTGTATGTGACAAGTGACATTGATTCAGTGTAAGGCCCAATGTGACCCTGTTTGTTGCATGTGACAAGTGACATTGATTCAGTGTAAGGCCCAATGTGACCCTGTTTGTTGTATGTGACAAGTGACATTGATTCAGTGTAAGGCCTGATGTGACCCTGTTTCTTGTATGTGATAAGTGACATTGATTCAGTGTAAGGCCCAATGTGACCCTGTTTGTTGTATGTGACAAGTGACATGGCTTCAGTGCATGGCCCAATGTGACCCTGTTTCATGTGACAAGTAACATGGCTTCAGTGTAAGGCCTAATGTGACCCTGTTTCATGTGACAAGTAACATGGCTTCAGTGCATGGCACAATGTGACCCTGTTTCATGTGACAAGTAACATGGCTTCAGTGTAAGGCCCAATGTGACCCTGTTTGTTGTATGTGACAAGTGACATGGCTTCAGTGTAAGGCCTAATGTGACCCTGTTTGTTGTATGTGACAAGTTACATGGCTTCAGTGCATGGCCCAATGTGACCCTATTTCAGGTGACAAGTAACATGGCTTCAGTGTAAGGCCTAATGTGACCCTGTTTCCTCTTTTACAGCACCAGTTCCTGACAGAGATTCTCCGATGGCGATCACAGTCCACACCTGACCATATCATGTTCACCATGCTCAATGCCAGGGTTGGTATCTTTTTACATGTGTAGGTAACAGATATGATGCCTGTAAATTTCAAAAGTGTACTCCACACAATCGCCTTTCTGCCAGGTGACATTGATCAAATAGACATAAGTCTTTTTGTATTAGCCTAAGCGATTAGTATTGTGGCATCAGTTGAGTCTATGGTGTTAAGTAGGTTGAATGGTGGAATTCAGTGATCAGTTATCTGCATTCTTTCATCTACTGGTCCTCAAATCCTAATTTTCGATCACCATTAAACTTCACCCACTTCAATGTGAGTCAGTGAGATCATCTAGTGCAGATCAGTCAAAGATTGTTGTCTTACAAACATATAATGCGGCTGGCAGACCAATCAGAATGCAGGACTCTAACATCACGAGCTAGAAGAAACATTTGGAGTCTAGAAATAATCTGTAGAAATCCAATTTTCTGCTCATGATGTATTGAGACACACCAATTGTGTTGTGCAAACCATCTATATTTTGTGATGGTTGTTGTTTCAGATGCAGCCCCATCTAACTGTTACCTGCTCCCAGCTACACAAGCGTGCAGAGAGAATCGGCTGTCTGCTGATGGAGAAAGGAGGGCTGAACACAGGCGACCACGTGGCACTCATCTACCCACCAGGTAACACATTAGTCTGTGTCTTGTGTGTCATGTACCCACCAGGTAACACATCGGTCTTTGTGTCATCTACCCACCAGGTAACACATCAGTCTGTGTGTCATGTACCCATCAGGTAACACATCAGTCTGTGTCTTGTGTGTCATGTACCACTACATAACACATTAGTCTGTGTCTTGTGTGTCATGTACCCACCAGGTAACACATCAGTCTTTGTGTCATCTACCCACCAGGTAACACATCAGTCTGTGTGTCATGTACCCATCAGGTAACACATCGGTCTTTGTGTCATCTACCCACCAGGTAACACATCAGTCTGTGTGTCATGTACCCACCAGGTTACACATTAGTCTGTGTGTCATGTACCCACCAGGTAACACATTAGTCTGTGTGTCATGTACCACCAGGTAACACATCAGTCTGTGTGTCAAGTACCACTACATAACACATTAGTCTTTGTGTCATCTACCCACCAGGTAACACATCAGTCTGTGTGTCATGTACCACCAGGTAACACATCAGTCTGTGTGTCATGTACCCACCAGGTTACACATTAGTCTGTGTGTCATGTACCACCAGGTAACACATCAGTCTGTGTCTTGTGTGTCATGTACCACTACATAACACATTAGTCTTTGTGTCATCTACCCACCAGGTAACACATCGGTCTTTGTGTCATCTACCCACCAGGTAACACATCAGTCTGTGTGTCATGTACCCACCAGGTAACACATCAGTCTGTGTGTCATGTACCCACCAGGTTACACAATAGTCTGTGTGTCCTGTACCACCAGGTTACACATCAGTCTGTGTGTCATGTACCACCAGGTTACACATCAGTCTGTGTGTCATGTACCACCAGGTTACACATCAGTCTGTGTGTCATGTACCACCAGGTTACACATCAGTCTGTGTGTCATGTACCACCAGGTTACACATCAGTCTGTGTGTCATGTACCCACCAGGTTACACAATAGTCTGTGTGTCCTGTACCACCAGGTTACACATCAGTCTGTGTGTCATGTACCCACCAGGTTACACATTAGTCTGTGTGTCAAGTACCACCAGGTAACACATCAGTCTGTGTGTCATGTACCCACCAGGTTACACATCAGTCTGTGTGTCATGTACCACCAGGTTACACATCAGTCTGTGTGTCATGTACCCTCCAGGTTACACATCAGTCTGTGTGTCATGTACCACCAGGTTACACATCAGTCTGTGTGTCATGTACCCACCAGGTTACACATTAGTCTGTGTGTCATGTACCCACCAGGTAATACATTAGTCTGTGTGTCAAGTACCACCAGGTTACACATCAGTCTGTGTGTCATGTACCACCAGGATACACATCAGTCTGTGTGTCATGTACCACCAGGTTACACATCAGTCTGTGTGTCATGTACCACCAGATAAAACATCAGTCTGTGTCATGTACCACCAGGTTACACATCAGTCTGTGTGTCATGTACCACCAGGTTACACATCAGTCTGTGTGTCATGTACCACCAGGTTACACATCAGTATGTGTCTTGTGTGTCATGTACCCACCAGGTAACACATTAGTCTGTCTGCGTCATGTACCACTAGATACAACATCAGTCTGTGTCTTGTGTGTCATGTACCCACCAGGTAACACATCAATCTGTATCTGTGTGTCTTTGAAAAGTGACAAGATGATGCGAACATCAGACTTTCACAGAGACATGCATAATTTTCAAAACAAAAATTTTAGAACTGAATAAGTACCAACTATGGTTGGTGCAAGAGTGATGACTGAGATCATTGACCACTAACAACTAACACTCAGTTACCATGCATGCCGATATTGGCCCTGACATGCTTGTAGTCAGAGTGATTTGAGAGTTGCTGAACTGAATTTAAGTGTCAAATACGTCTGAATGTAATCAGTTAAATAGTACCTTTTGTTTCTGTCTGTTTCAGGAATAGAGCTGATAGCTGCATTCTATGGTTGCCTGTATGTAGGTGAGTCAACAGGCCACATAGTTCACCTTCTATACATTTAACATCGTATATTCTGATAAAGTGATACTACATCACAATGTGTTGTTGGTGTGATGATTACAAGTACCAATCTTGTTTCAACATTTTGATTTAGCCGTGTATGTGACGTAGGTGATATTTAGTAAAACCCTGATGCTGTTTCTGCCAGGGTGTGTGCCAGTGACGATACGCCCACCCCACCCCCAGAACGTGGGCTCCACCCTCCCCACTGTCCGGATGATTGTAGAGGTCAGCAAGTCAGTCGCCATCCTCACAAGCACATTCGTCATCAAGCTCCTCAAGTCCAAGGTGTGTACATCATGTTTCGCTTGCTTCAGCCATATGAATGTTTATTTCCTCAGACTGGGAACTTTCTGATCTGTAGTAGGCAACCATATTAAACATGGACAGATGTCAAACTATCTAGGAACATTAGGTAATTTGAATTATGAATTGCACACTCTAGTTTGGTTTGTGAAATGGGTCCTGCCAGAATAGGCAGGTAGCTGCAGACCATGGGTGAGGTCACATTATAGTTCTCTTTGTGATGATTGTAAATGTTTATGTCATACAGGAAGCAGGAGCTATTGTTGAGTCCAAGACCTGGCCCAAGCTCCTGGACACCGATGACCTTCCCAAGCGGAAACTGGCTGCTGTGTACCGTGCCCCCACCCCAGAGATGATCTGCTACCTTGACTTCAGCGTGTCCACCACGGGCATGCTGGCTGGTGTGAAGGTGGGTCTGCATGGGTGGCCAACTCTGTTCTCACGGCTCTCTTTCCCATCAGCCAGATGATAACTCATTCTCTATAATTTTTGGGAGATACACAAATTTCATATTTGCAGGTGTTATTCAGTATTCAGTGCAGACAGATTGATCTTTTAAAGCCTCAAGCTCACATCTCTTCCAAATGAGGTCTCTGACATGATACAATTTGGGTGAATGCTATAAAACATCTTATTTTTTTCTGGTAAGTATTTATAAAATGCAATAGATGATGGAGTTGTGTGTCCTAAATTTGGGATGTGGAATTTTTGCAGCGAGATGGCCATGTTTAAATGTTTTTCAACCAATAGTTTCACACTTTCATTCATTTTACAATTTCTCAAGAAGCAAATTGTTCCTCTGCCTTACAGATGTCCCATGCAGCTGCCACTGCTCTGTGTCGAGCCCAGAAACTCCAGTGTGAACTATACCCGTCCCGTGATGTTGCACTGTGTCTCGACCCGTACTGCGGCCTCGGCCTGGTCCTCTGGTGTCTCAGCAGGTAGGTGCATGTACACAGCAACAGGCTACTTTCCAATAGAACTAAATAGTGTTGATAGAGCCTGCATGGGGGATTCAGGGGCAGAATAGCTTCTTGATTTCAGTGATATCACTTCTGGATCCACAGGATCCACTGATATGAGTTCTTGCTGATACAGGGTATATAACATTAGATCTTATGATATCAGTTCTTGCCAAGGCAGAGTATTTACACTTGATCCACTGATTTCAGTTCTGGCCAGTACAGGGTATGTTGCACTTTGTCCACTTATACCAGTTCTTGCCAATGTGGCATATACATGTATAACGTTGGATCCACTGATATCAGTTCTTGCCAATACAGTATAATACCCTGGATCCACTGATATCAGTTCTTGACAATACAGAGTATATTGCACTGGCTACATTGATATCAGCTCTTGCCGATACAGTATATATTGCACTGGATCCACTGATATCAGTTCTGGCATTAACACTGTTTGAAATGGTTGTTGTATTTGAGGCCCTGGTATATGAAGTTGTTTGTGTTTCCAGCGTGTATTCTGGCCACCATTCCATCTTGATTCCTCCGTCAGAAGTGGAGACAAACCCAGCAGTGTGGCTCTCGTCAGTCAGTGTCTACAAAGGTGAGTTTGGGGCTGGACCCCATCAACCTGGACCTGGAAACCAGACATTCAGCTCAGAAGTACGACAAGAATCTGTGCTCAATAGACCTGTACTATCTCACTTTCTTGTCATGAAACAATAATGCCCCATGAGGGTAGAATTGTCGAGTGTAAAAGCTTTTCAGTATTTGCATGTGCATTTTGGAAATTCTCAATGCTGACTGGTCAGTTGAAGAGATACAATGCAGGAGAGGGTGTTGTATTTCATGTGGGACATTGCTTCATTGATATCTGACATCCATTATTCAAGAGGTGAACAATAGTCCTCCCACTTCAAGCTGATGTGATATAATTGGAATTTTGATTAAAGCGGCGTTAACCCAACTCACTCACTCACTTTCTTAGAAATGACAATGAGTTATCTATAGAATACACTGCTGGAAACGTTGAATTATGGATTATCTCTCTGTCATGACCATCCCTTATTCCTCGTAGCTCTTAACTCCAGTCTGTGACAATACTTTAGTGCCTATACTCACCCAAATTTGTCTTTTTGTATTATTTCTGTAGATTTTGGTGTTAATAGACTAGTGGCTTAAGCCTCAGACTGTTATCCACTAAGCCATTTTTTGTAGTTTTTTATAGTTTACATTTTGAAGGTAGTTTGACATTTTTGATTCTTTTCAGTGAGAGACACCTTCTGTTCGTATGGTGTGATGGAACTGTGTACTCGCGGCCTGGGGACATCCACATCGGCTCTCAAGGTAAGAGTTTCCGTTACTACGCCATCATTGTATTCAGTCAAAAACAAGTGTCTTACCTGATGGAGGTAGTGGCTAGCCTTGTAGGTAAAGCGTTCACTCACCATGGGAAGGCCAAGGTTCCATTTCCCACTGGAATATTGCTAAAAAGGTGTAAGACTTACTCCCTCACATAGCTGATGGACTGCGTTTACTTGCCCAAATGATACTTGGTTAGACTCTGTAGGTCTGTATGATGAGGTGTAATTTTACCTTGCAGGAGAGGCTGTTGTATATTCATGTGGGACAGTTATTAGTGCTTATATTTACAAGCAGTGATCAGTTTCTTTAACATTGTCATCATTTGGGTCATAATGGTTTTAGAATCTACCACAAAAGTTACGATAGTTTTAATAAAGAGGTTGATAATCCATGCTGTCTTAACATCAGCTACATATCCAGCTTTTACTTGCAAGTGTAACATCAAGCACTGACAGGTACTAAGGTACTAATATGGATGTGTCAGACCCAACCCTCTGACGCTAGCTATTCCTAAGTGTTTGTAGGTTTCAGCACTGATGTTGCTTTGTTCCAGGCAAAGGGTGTGAACCTGGTTTGTGTGCGGGCATGTTGCGTGATTGCAGAGGAGCGGCCGAGGATACAGCTGACGACATCCTTCACCAAGCTGTTTGCCAGCCTGGGACTCTCCCCTCGGGCTGTCAGCACAAGCTTTGGCTGCAGGGTCAATGTTGGAATAGGTCTACAGGTAGGTACTGGTATTCCATACATGCTTGATTGGGTGCTGATTGCTTTAGTTGTCAGCTAGTTGGAGAACCAGTTGTTTAGGTGTTTTTCAATTATTTGTTTATTTTATTTTTTTTAATTCCAGATGTTTTTTTCAACTTGTACATGAGACTAAAGAAATTATTCTTAAATGAGGCTGTGCATTGATATGTCCTATAGGTATGCTGAGTCATAGAAGGGAGTTCCTGAATGACAAATGATCGTGTTCAGTTTTACAATCTCTGTCTGGTATTGTGCTCAGGTGATGCCAAGATATTTTCTGTACAGGATTGTGTTGAGAAATATTTAAGAATATTCAGATCCATAGTAAGAAAGGCATTTATTTCCAGGGTGCTTCATGTCCAGAACCAACAACTGTCTATGTTGATCTGCGCGCCCTCCGCAACGACCGTGTGACACTAGTTGAGAAGGGCAGCCCTCACAGTCTTTGCCTCATGGAGTCAGGCAAGGTAAGCAGATATCTCACACACTTAAAAAATTCTCTGCTTCATGGAGTCAGGCAAGGTAAGCAGATATCTCACACACTTCTCTGCCTCATGGAGACAGAGTAAAGTATCCATGTGGGGCTTCCCGGTGTAGGTCACCACAACCTGTGCTGGTGGTAAGAGGCGACCAAAGGAATATTGAATATGGTCGACATTGCTTGAGAGCATTTCCTTGTACCCAAGTGGCATGGATTTCTGCTCACGATATCGGTCACTGTATTGTCTGGTCCAGACTTGATTATTTACAGGCCGCCATCATATGGCTGAAATATTGCCAAGTGAGGCGTAAAATACAAACCAGCAAATTAGAGTATGTAGATATCATATGAATCACTTACAAGAGTTAAGAAATTAGACGTTGAAGTATTTTTAGTTGTGTCATATGGTTTCCATTATATTTGGTATCCTTCAGCTGCTGCCAGGAGTGAAGGTGGTGATTGCTAACCCTGAGACTAAAGGCCAGTGCGCTGATTCCCATCTTGGAGAGGTATGTCATGCTCACTGCTACCTTACCATTAAGACACAGCATCGTAGTACCTATTTCCTTGTTAAGCTAGGATAGTGATTCCTTTACTGCTTTGCAGAAATGAACACGACTTTGCAAACTTATGTAACTTTTGACATGTTTTTATGAATAAATATGCAGGTTATAGATGTTGTCAGTGTGGTTTATTATGCCGTATACCTAATAACCCTAGTGTTATGCTGTAGGTTGTTTCATGTCTTATTACTTCTTATGTCTTGTTAAAGGTATTGTGAGTCAGAGAATCATTTTGGTGGTTGTAAATGATGCCGTGTTGTGTTGTGTCATGTTTTGTTTCTGTTTACCAGATCTGGGTGAGCAGTCCCCACAGCGCTACCGGCTACTTCACCATCTATGGCGATGACTCCCTTCACCAGGATCATTTCGACTCCAGACTTGCCACTGGAGATACGCAGACATCGTATGCTAGGACAGGGTTCTTAGGCTTCATACGCAGAACAGAGCTCACACAGTCAGATGGAGGTAGGCAAAGGTCATCATCATGTCGGGACTTATCACCAATTGTGACTCTAGGTTAGACTTGGTGCTAGTACCCAGTGCTGTCTCCAGTGGAGATTCAGGGTAACTTTGGTCCTCGTACCCAATCCTTGTCTCTCGTTGAGATTCAGGATAATCTTGGTCCTTGTACCCAGTGCTGTCTCAATTGGGGATTCAGGGCTATTTTGGTCCTGGTACCCTATGCTTGTCTCCAGTGGGGATTCCAGGGTAGCCTTGGTCCTGTTACCCTATGCTTGTCTCCAGTGGGGATTCCAGGGTAACCTTGGTCCTGGTACCCTATGCTTGTCTCCAGTGGGGATTCCAGGGTAACCTTGGTCCTGTTACCCTATGCTTGTCTCCAGTGGGGATTCCAGGGTGGCCTTGGTCCTGGTACCCTATGCTTGTCTCCAGTGGGGATTCCAGGGTAGCCTTGGTCCTGGTACCCTATGCTTGTCTCCAGTGGGGATTCCAGGGTAGCCTTGGTCCTGGTACCCTATGCTTGTCTCCAGTGGGGATTCCAGGGTAGCCTTGGTCCTGGTACCCTATGCTTGTCTCCAGTGGGGATTCCAGGGTAGCCTTGGTCCTGGTACCCTATGCTTGTCTCCAGTGGGGATTCCAGGGTAGCCTTGGTCCTGGTACCCAATGCTTGTCTCTAGTAGGGATTGTAAGGTAACCTTGGTCCTGGTACCCAATGCTTGTCTCTAGTAGGGATTGTACGGTAATCTTGATCCTGGTACCCAATGCTTGTCTCTAGTAGGGATTGTACGGTAACCTTTGTCCTGGTACCCAATGCTTGTCTCTAGTAGGGATTGTACGGAAACCTTGGTCCTGGTACCTATGCTTGTCTCCAGTGGGGATTCCAGGGTAGCCTTGGTCCTGGTACCCTATGCTTGTCTCCAGTGGGGATTCCAGGGTAGCCTTGGTCCTGGTACCCTATGCTTGTCTCCAGTGGGGATTCCAGGGTAGCCTTGGTCCTGGTACCCAATGCTTGTCTCTAGTAGGGATTGTAAGGTAACCTTGGTCCTAGTACCCAATGCTTGTCTCTAGTAGGGATTGTACGGTAATCTTGATCCTGGTACCCAATGCTTGTCTCTAGTAGGGATTGTACGGTAACCTTTGTCCTGGTACCCAATGCTTGTCTCTAGTAGGGATTGTACGGAAACCTTGGTCCTAGTACCCAATGCTTGTCTCTAGTAGGGATTGTACGGTAACCTTGGTCCTGGTACCCAATGCTTGTCTCTAGTAGGGATTGTATGGTAACCTTGGTCCTGGTACCCAATGCTTGTCTCTAGTAGGGATTGTACGGTAACCTTGGTCCTAGTACCCAATGCTTGTCTCTAGTTGGGATTGTACGGTAACCTTAGTCCTGGTACCCAATGCTTGTCTCTAGTAGGGATTGTACGGTAACCTTGGTCCTAGTACCCAATGCTTGTCTCTAGTAGGGATTGTACGGTAACCCTTGTCCTGGTACCCAATGCTTGTCTCTAGTAGGGATTGTACGGTAACCTTGGTCCTGGTACCCTATGCTTGTCTCCAGTGGGGATTCCAGGGTAAACTTGGTCCTGGTACCCTATGCTTGTCTCCAGTGGGGATTCCAGGGTAACCTTGGTCCTGTTTCCCTATGCTTGTTCCTAGCGGGGATTCCAGGGTAACCTTGGTCCTGTTACCCTATGCTTGTCTCTAGTGGGGATTCCAGGGTAGCCTTGGTCCTGGTACCCTATGCTTGTCTCCAGTGGGGATTCCAGGGTAGCCTTGGTCCTGGTACCCTATGCTTGTCTCCAGTGGGGATTCCAGGGTAGCCTTGGTCCTGGTACCCTATGCTTGTCTCTAGTAGGGATTATATGGTAACCTTGGTCCTGGTACCAAATGCTTGTCTCTAGTAGGGATTGTACGGTAACCTTGGTCCTGGTACCCAATGCTTGTCTCTAGTAGTGATTGTACAGTAACCTTGGTCCTGGTACCCAATGCTTGTCTCTAGTAGGGATTGTACGGTAACCTTGGTCCTAGTACCCAATGCTTGTCTCTAGTAGGGATTGTACGGTAACCTTAGTCCTGGTACCCAATGCTTGTCTCTAGTAGGGATTGTACGGTAACCTTGGTCCTAGTACCCAATGCTTGTCTCTAGTAGGGATTGTACGGTAACCTTAGTCCTGGTACCCAATGCTTGTCTCTAGTAGGGATTGTACGGTAACCTTGGTCCTAGTACCCAATGCTTGTCTCTAGTAGGGATTGTACGGTAACCTTGGTCCTAGTACCCAATGCTTGTCTCTAGTAGGGATTGTACGGTAACCTTGGTCCTGGTACCCTATGCTTGTCTCCAGTGGGGATTCCAGGGTAACCTTGGTCCTGGTACCCTATGCTTGTCTCCAGTGTGGATTCCAGGGTAACCTTGGTCCTGTTACCCTATGCTTGTTCCTAGCGGGGATTCCAGGGTAACCTTGGTCCTGTTACCCTATGCTTGTCTCTAGTGGGGATTCCAGGGTAGCCTTGGTCCTGGTACCCTATGCTTGTCTCCAGTGGGGATTCCAGGGTAGCCTTGGTCCTGGTACCCTATGCTTGTCTCCAGTGGGGATTCCAAGGTAGCCTTGGTCCTGGTACCCTATGCTTGTCTCCAGTGGGGATTCCAGGGTAACCTTGGTCCTGGTACCCTATGCTTGTCTCCAGTGGGGATTCCAGGGTAGCCTTGGTCCTGGTACCCTATGCTTGTCTCTAGTAGGGATTGTACGGTAACCTTGGTCCTAGTACCCTATGCTTGTCTCCAGTGGGGATTCCAGGGTAGCCTTGGTCCTGTTACCCTATGCTTGTCTCTAGTGGGGATTCCAGGGTAGCCTTGGTCCTGTTACCCTATGCTTGTCTCCAGTGGGGATTCCAAGGTAGCCTTGGTCCTGGTACCCTATGCTTGTCTCCAGTGGGGATTCCAGGGTGGCCTTGGTCCTGGTACCCTATGATTGTCTCTAGTAGGGATTGTACGGTAACCTTGGTCCTAGTACCCAATGCTTGTCTCTAGTAGGGATTGTATGGTAACCTTGGTCCTGGTACCAAATGCTTGTCTCTAGTAGGGATTGTACGGTAACCTTGGTCCTGGTACCCAATGCTTGTCTAGTAGTTATTGTACAGTAACCTTGGTCCTGGTACCCAATGCTTGTCTCTAGTAGGGATTGTACGGTAACCTTGGTCCTAGTACCCAATGCTTGTCTCTAGTAGGGATTGTACGGTAACCTTGGTCCTGGTACCCAATGCTTGTCTCTAGTAGGGATTGTACGGTAACCTTGGTCCTGGTACCCTATGCTTGTCTCCAGTGGGGATTCCAGGGTAACCTTGGTCCTAGTACCCAATGCTTGTCTCCAGTGTGGATTCCAGGGTAACCTTGGTCCTGGTACCCCATGCTTGTCCCCAGCGGGGATTCCAGGGTAACCTTGGTCCTGGTACCCCATGCTTGTCTCCAGTGTGGATTCCAGGGTAACCTGGGTCCTAGTACCCAATGCTTGTCTCCAGTGGGGATTCCAGGGTAACCTTGGTCCTAGTACCCAATGCTTGTCTCCAGTGTGGATTCCAGGGTAACCTTGGTCCTAGTACCCAATGCTTGTCTCCAGTGGGGATTCCAGGGTAACCTTGGTCCTAGTACCCAATGCTTGTCTCTAGTAGGGATTGTACGGTAACCTTGGTCCTGGTACCCAATGCTTGTGTACAGTACATTCACCCTGTGAACCCACTCATCTGATGGTAGATGACCAAATGATGGAAACACAGATATGTTCATACACCCAAAACACAAGTGTCAAAATGTGTGGTGTCACCCTGGGCAAGTGACTTAGTTCAAATATGCCTCTGTTCACCAAGCAGGTTATCCAATATGTGAGGTGGATATAAAAACCCTCTAGTGTCCGTAGGCAGCTTGGGTTGTATACTCCCCAGGGAGTTGAGAAAGATAACTGGAATACACGTGGATCAGTGGTCAGGGAACAAATAAACCACATTTGAGCAGATACCAGTACCAGGATAAGTGGGTTATATATGTGTGGTATAGTATAATAATATCATATAATATATTAATATGATATAATGTGATATAATGTGATATAATATGATAGTGATAATGTATGTGTCCACTAGATCCTTGGTACCCAAGGCTTGTCCACCATGAGGATTCCAGGGCCCAGTGTTTGCCCCATAGTGCCCAGTTGTAAGTGCAATCAAGATCAGCCCACCTTTGTTAACAGTGTGTCTGGTTGTCAATATTTGGCTACTAGTTTCCCTGCTCTAGATTTGATTACACCGACTGCCATGAGTTTGAGTTATTATGATGTGAGCCCCACCCATTAGCAGGAATAATTAATGTTCCCAAGGGCAAAAATGTTTGCATCAATATTGCTTCTTTGTTGCCACGTAAGTGGTCTTTGATCTTTCTGTTTGGTTTGAAACAGCTTGCACTATTATCAATGTGTACACACTTCTCAACTAGCTATTACCTTTTGTTTTACAGAGCGCCATGATGCTATCTTTGTTGTTGGAGGCCTTGATGAGACCATTGTGTTGCGAGGCATGAGGTACCACCCCATAGATGTAGAGACTAGTGTGCTTCGAGCGCATAGGAAGATCTGTGAATGGTGAGTATTATTTCACGCAGTCATAAACCAAATAATGGCACTGTATGGTTAACTATGAAAGTCTGTGGGGCCTAAGGGTCACCCAGAGATCTTAAGATGCGTTAGTTTGCTCTGTAGACTTTCATTCCTTAGCTGTACCAGGATCCGCTGATTTTTGTGTGCCTAATTATGTTCTGTGTTTTGTGGCACCTTACCTGTGCTTGTGGGTAATCTTAGGTTGTAGATTTAGTGTGTGCTTTTGTCCCTGTTAGGATTTTGGGCAGAATAGGTTCCCAGTGTCCCATACTAGCTGTGCTGTAAGGGCCAACTGATGGATGATTGAGTGGTCAGGGGGATTTTATCTCCATTATGAGTTAGTTGTTCATGCTTTCGACCACTTGTTTACCAGACCGAGGCACAATCATTTACAAGTTAATGTAATTTAGCTGATGTTAGTATTGCTAACCATGGCAAAAACAGCATTCACTAATTTTTAGTTAATGATTTGATGAAGTTGATGAATTAGTTTCTTGCTGTAACAACAGTCATAAAGAAGATAATATGCATGTGATTCATTTATTAATATCAATAGAACATGGCACTGGTGTGTCTGTTTGTTTTCTTGGTACTGATGCCATTCATAATGGGATAGACATTTGCCTCAATGTTTCATTGTGGTCAAGGTACCAAGGGATTACATAAGATATTAAACTTTTGGAACTTTTGTGTAATGTTAGCGTGTTATCACTAATGAAATCTCTTCAGTAGGGACTGGTTTGGACACAGTCAGCAAGTATATGGCTAGACATCTGTTGATACATCTCCTCTATTTCCAGTGCTGTGTTTACATGGACCAACCTGCTGGTGGTGGTTGTTGAGTTGGATGGAAACGAAAATGAGGCTCTTGACTTAGTCCCCTTGGTAACAAACGCAGTATTGGAGGAGCACTACCTTATCGTGGGTGTGGTTGTCGTGGTTGACCCAGGGGTCATCCCGATCAACTCCAGAGGAGAGAAACAGCGGATGCATCTACGAGATGGCTTCCTGGCTGACCAGCTCGACCCCATCTATGTAGCTTACAATATGTAGGCAACTCAAATAGCTAGCCCAGACTTTGACAGGTTTACCTGTCTTGACCCTACACAATCTGGTTCTTTCAGTTAGAAGATGGAGTCATTTATTTTTTATTATATGGAAGATCATGTTGGATCTCAAAATACAGACTTGATGATAAACAGACATTGAAACCAACATGAGTAAACTGGGTCCAGAAAGGAGAAAAGTTCAACAATCATCAGCGATTAAGTTCCAACTTTATTTACAAATTTCTCAAAGTAACAGTAATGAATATGAAGTTATCAAGTGGAGAGAGGGTTCCACCTATAAAGCAAACAGGAATGAAAGCAGTGGCAAATGTATACAAGAATGGGACATCTCGGGTGTGATGGGTCTGGATGCTGAAGGGCACATGCTTTTGAATTGCTAGAACCTTGGCTTCAAGACAGTGCCCTCAAAGCTTCAAAGTAAAAGAGAAAGGTGGTATTGTACGAATATGTACAAGCTTAAACCTGGATGGATCGTGATGAGTCTGAAGTATACATTTATCAAAGTGAAATAAATGTTTTGGCTTGAGTGATGTGCTGTATGGGCCCCATTTAATGATGCTGACGATGTGATGAAGATGTATTTTATGAGATGAGACATGTTCACAAACATGCAGGATTGATTTCCTCATTTATTTGGGACCCATCTGTGCTGTCCAGAAATAGACAGGTCAGTGACAAGGTGGGATTTCGCTATTGACGTGCGGTGATTGCTATATATGATACTATGTGCTTGACATTGAATCAGTAATCTGTCTGCAATATAGGTGTGTACATTACATGCTTGAAATGAACATGGTGATGGCAGAGATGTTTGGGTGAGCAGTATATGGAACGTTGAAAGGGACGTGAGAAAAAGACAATGAATGATCGTTGATGTGCTCTGATGTGAGGAGAGTTTGAGTGACAGTTCCAGTCGAGTATGGACAGATCAGAGTTGAGAAGGAAATTGAGGAGTGTTTTGTTGTCCTGGAAATTAAAATGTTGGTAAATTTATGACAATAGGAAGAGTTGTCACAGGTCATCACTTGTGGTCCATCTTGATGTCTGTGTTAGTATACTAGATATTCAAGATTGACAGCTAATGACAAGAAATGAACTAGGTCCTGACTTAAAGATACGACACTGAAAGAACATATTTTGGTTATTGCTTGCTAGTACCACACTCATAGTGAAAAATAGACTAACAAATATGCTTTCTAAATATGCAAGAGTATTCAGTAGAATTTATTATATCTAACTGTATATATACAGATATGATTAACATGAAAATTAGGTTTTAGATCATCAAACTTAATTGTTGTTTCTTTGAATTTTGAAAATATATCTTGACTTTCTCAGTTCCTTTTAGCATGGTGTCCAAAGAGATGGAGCTAATGCCAAATTCATCATCTGATCTCTCAATCTTGTATTTTGTACATGTAACTAGCATGAAAATAACTGTATGCCACATGATATTGCTTAGGAGATTGTGTTGAAATATGCTTCCGTTTAGCTATTCTATGTGATATTTAGTTTATTAGCTGAAACCATTCTTACGACTGTGGTGTTAAAAAAATCTATTGTATGTGATAGTGCAGTCACAAAATTTGTAGGGTGTAATACAAGGGGAGCTAACTCTGTAATCCTAGTCACTATGCTGTACAGTGCTATTGTTGTGTCCCGGCATAATCGGTAGAGTACCCATGCAGTGATGCCATTAATAATTTGGTGTGTATGGTTTGAATTGCACCACGTTATGCATGTTTTTGATACTTTCATTACTCAGATTATATTTTAATTTGTACATAAAAATAGTAGATGCTTATGGTGTTTATTTCACAAGCTACCACAATCTTTCTGTACACAGTTCATCTGTTATCTTTAACTTATTTATGTCTATTCCTGCAGTTCAGGATATCAAACTACTAGAAGTAGTCTACTTTCTTCCTCACTGTAAAACATTAGGTGGTAACTTTTAGGGTCTACCAAAACATGAATGACAGCAGTTTTGATATGTACAAAAAATTGTATAGAAATTATATTCACTTATTCACAAGACATTCACATACTGACATTTCAATGAACATTTCATTAAAATCATGAATTTAAACCTTCATGCATGTATGTGTGTTGTGATACAATTGCATGCTTCGTACCAAACTTATGCACAGAAAGAACTTTTGTGCATTGAATCTCATTAAGCTCCACAAATATATATCACAATCTAAGAAAATATTCCTGTACCAGTTCCTCATCAGTCGTCATACATTCAGTGAACGCGTCATTGAGTTTGTGCATCACATAACTGAAGATGCTAAGTATTAACAGAGTTTGCTGATGCTCAGATGTGTGTGTTCTGCAGCCTGCTTCACACCACCCTGGGATTAGATGAGGCATTACCTGACATGGACAGAAATAGAATTATAAGAATCAAGAAGAGGAACCAGTAACAGCTCTTCTCATGTGCATGAAGTTTTCACAATGACCTGTTACGAAAATACTTTAAGAGCAACTGTTCATGTGTAAATGTCAAATGCAATGGGGTGTCCTAGCGCTTCAAGCAATGGGCACAACGTGTGAAGCCCATTTTGGTGGTAATGATAAAAGTGACATAATTATTTTCACTCTGAAATTGAGATAAACAACTTTCTCTTTTAATTCCAAGTGGAAAAGTATTACCATGTCATAACAGTGTCGTAAACAGTCTCTTGTAAGTGTATTATCAAGTGGTCGATGATTGGCTGCAGTCATTTCACTCTTGCTATGACGAGGAGTTACTGCCCTTCCCTAAAGTTTGGCTGCTGGGTGGGAACTGTTTGAGCAAAGAGGTGTATGATTCTGTTTCGGTGGGTAGAGGGTTATGTGGTTCCACATCCAAGGGTTGGTGTGATGCGAGAGGTGCAACATATTTACTTGGGTTTAAGGATGGATGACGTTGCTAGATTCGTTCCAGTCAACCAAACCACACACATTCATATTTATCTTTCCATGTATGTGTCAGTGTTGTTTCATAACCATGTGAACACAACTTCCAAAACTGTTTTAATGTCAAAGAACAGGGTTTTTCAGTTTTCCTTACTTATAATCAACCTGGGGCATTCACATAAAGCTGACGCAAGACTATTTACATTTATGTTTGCTGTCAGTCATCAGGAATGGATACAGTGTTTGAGATTAACAATGCAAGTCAAGGGGACCTTGTGACAACAAGTTAGCAATTGAAGATAAATGGGTCTGTAGATATTCTATGGCAGAAAACGACCCCAGGACCCTTAATTTCAAACACTGCTGTATCAGATTCATCTATGGTATATTTGTCGAAGGAACACCTGCAGTTATATTCACAATCAGTTGAAGCACACCACACAGAAACATTATCCATTATTCTTGACAGGGTGCTACACCTCCTCCAGAGGGAGATTTAGAGTTCTCCTGTCTGTACCATATACACATGTAGATAGATCTAGACTAAGGAGGACTGATTTCTAATACTTATCCTATAAAAGAGGAGAAAAAACATGGCCAGTTATCCACTGTCTTGCTTATTCCAAACTATTCGCCATTAAGCCAATTTTATGCTCAACTGTAACCGATTTTTGTGTATTGTTTAGAATGTTTTTTTTGCAAGCCAGCATGTTTTTTTTTCCAAGTGTCTTGTTTCATAATGTCATTAATCATTGTTTTATTTAGTTTGTAAAAAATTTGTGCATACATGCCAATGTATATAGATGCTATGGGTGATTGATAGAGAGTGAGAATGCTTCTACCAGACGACCATGGTAAAAGAAAATATTTGCTTTTATCATGGCGGATGATTGATAGGTTTAACTGACTAGATTATGCTAATTATTCTTTAGGTATACTTTTGTGATGGAAAATTTGGTTCTTGGAAATAACACTTCCCAGAAGAATTTTTAATTACCGGTACATTAATTTGATTTAGTCGTTGAACGTTAACAAATCTTAAACTGATAATCACGTACATGTTTTATACATTGTCTTCATATTTCAGCCACTTTTCATAATATAACAAAGTCACAACCTTTCTCCTGCTTTTTGCATATTATCAAGCTAGACAATTTTGCACATGTATGCAAAGTTCCTGTTCCTTTTTACATTCCTGAGTAGTCCCATGTTATATTTTGTTCCATAAGCTTTCAGTGTTAGTAAGCTGAAATCTGCAGTATTTTTTTCTATTTTCAAAGTTTTCTCAGTGCCTCCCATCAGTTATATTGCATTCTGGTATCTTGTAATGTTCATGTTGAGGAACAGTTACCTCCCTTTGAATAGACTTGATTGACAGGAGAAGCTATTTTTTTGGATGCAAAGGACTCTAAAATGTATTCATGAAAATTCAGATGCAGCATCACATAACATCAATCATTCATACTAAAGTTTGCTTAATATGAAATAGTTTGCCAAATTAAAAGAAGCTCATGGTGTGCAGTTAATATTGATTCATTGCATAGATGGTGTATCAATTCACGAGATGCTGTATGGAATTTCACGTTTTTTTAAAGAAGAAAACATTTTTTTTATGTTGACTATATTCAATGTTGTGTGGTAAGTGTATCTTTGTTTCATGAACACAAGCTTCGGTTTGGATGTTAGAAGAATTACTAGCTAAGATGCATGCTGAATGCTTTAAACCACTGTACATATGAGCTCAATTCAAACATGATTCAAGATATTGATTTATGTAGCGTCAAACTGATTACAAGAATATTTCAAGTGATTAATTCCTTGATTTCTTTCACTATCTTTCAAATTTGCCATATTTGATAAAAGCAAAGTTTTTTCCTCTCAGTATGCCCTACATGTGAAATATGATGGATATCTTGTACTTCTCAATGCGAATGAAATGAACGCTTGACGTGTGTGTGTGTGTGCATGCTAGAATCTCATAGAGTGTGTATATAGACATGTGTAGGTTATATTTGGACGTACTGCTATTGACAACTTGTAATGTATAAAACTTTAATTGTGACAGGTACTAATGATCATTTCATGTTGTGCATCGTTTTTGTTCGTTAATTATGTGAGTAACAAGTTTTTGATTTGATTATTGGTAGGAGTATGTTTTTAACTATTGGATAAATAATTCAGACATTAAGACAAGGGTACAAGCCCATGTAGGTTTTTCCTTTCTGCATATTGAATAGAGACATTGTTAAATATGTTTCATGAAATGTTTACATCAGCATCCGATGGGATCAGGAAGTTCATCTGCATGTAGTAGACATGTTAAATCAATAGAGTTTTTCAATTTGTCTTTGGTAATTTTAACATCTATTTTAACTTTGAACACATAATGTTTTATTACTTTCTCACGATAACATCAGTATTTATTGAAGTTTTATTACATTGTTAAATCTGTACACTGGTTATTTAGAAGACTTATAATTGTTTAGACATTAAACACTGTTTAAAAGTCAAGTTTATAATGTTTGAAAAGTTTGATTATGTAAGTGAAATGTTCCAAATAGCCATCAACATCTTATATGTTTATTACATATTAATATTTTGCATTTTACTGCAATTTGTTTACACCAATATATAAAAAACTAAGAAAATATTTAAGATTACTTTTCTTGTCAGTGTTAGAAATATTCGTTGTCCAAATAATTGGAAGTGTTAAGAAGTATACTTTGGTTATGATTTCCTAGGAGATACATATTAATGGTTGACTATGATTGCACAGCTAGCAACACACAAAGCTTGTATATGAGAATAAAGTGAATGTACATATTTTGTGTGACACAAAATACTTATCACCCGCTAGTGCAATATAAGGTAACAATCGGTGATGGAATTTCAAACTAGGTAAGCCAATTCCACTGAGGATTATATTAATGGGAAAGAAAATGGTTTGTTTCTCTTGGTACTGTTTCTAGAAGTGTTGGTGATTTGGATAAGTTTAGAAGACAAGAAAGTAAGAAATATGAGCAGAGTTTACTTTTGCCAAAACACTGAGTTCTTCTCTGTCATTTAATTTTTTTAGGTTCGGAATATATCATGGTTTTCTTACATTGTAACTTGAACTGTTTTCCTTATACTTACTGAATTATGGTATAATTATATTTACAGTCAGTATTTTATTTTCCCTCATATTTTATGTTTTTTTTATGCTAAATAATCACCTCAGTATTACATGGGAGTATGATGAGAAACAAACCAGATTCTGTCATTTAAGCCATATGCTTTTCGCGGTATATTAACAAATTACCTTGCCTTTGTAAAACAATACCATGAGTTTGAATGAACAGTTCAAATTAGTTTTGAATATGCTATGCATTACGATAAGTTGAACAAATTCACTTCCATGAGATAGCACTTCCACGGTGCAGTATGTTTCCCTTCAGTGAAGATGCCCTCATGGTCTGACCCTTGGGGTCAGTGACGTGGCTTGCTAGGTCAAGGGTCATATGAATATGCATATTGGGTCATCTTGCTGTGTGGGCAGTAGAATAGCTCTGTGTTAATCTGCTGTCAACTATACATTGTTTGTAAAACTGACTTTTGTATTGTGTACAATATTCATGACCAGTGCTTGGTACTTTTCAATTTCAACTGGAATAAATCCAATTTGCATAAAGAGCTTTTGTTTTTTATTGATTTTAGAACACCAAAGTGGGCAATGGGACTCATGTGTTAAGAATTCTTTAGAATGTGGAATTTGGCACTTTTATGTGGAGACAGATTAAGTATGAGCCCATTGTTTAAATTGAGATGTGTGTGGGTTTTATTGAGCTGAATTGTTCAAACAGCAATGCATGGCCTGACTGAGCTAGGAAGCATGGAGACAGATGTTTATTGTGGTTGTTAGTTTTGGGATTTGGGGGTGGGATTGTCTGCACTGGCCAAATCTATATATTACATCATACTGAGGTGGTAATTTGTGCTGGTTGGAGCTCCTGAACATGAATAGTGTTGGCCCCACTTGCAAGGCCTGACTTCAGGACTGAGGTTGGACAGTGCAGGTACCACTTGTGAGGGCTGACTTCTGAACAACTGAGGATGGATAGTGCAGGTACCACTGGGGAGGACAGACGTCAGGACAACTGAGAGCAGATAGTGCGGGTACCACTGGGGACGACAGATGTCAGGACTACTGAGGCCGGATAGTGCAGGTACCACTTGTTAGGGCTGACTTCTGAACTACTGAGGATGGATAGTGCAGGTACCACTAGGGACAAATGGACGTCAGGACAACTGAGGGCGGATAGTACAGGCACCACTGGGGACAGACGTCAGGACTACTGAGGGCGGATAGTGCAGGCACCACTGGGGAGGACAGACGTCAGGACTACAAAGGGTAGCGAGTACAGGTACCACTGGGGAGGACAGACGTCAGGACTACTAAGGGCGGATAGTGCAGGCACCACTTGGGAGGACAGACGTCAGGACTACTGGTGAGGACAGACGTCAGGACTACAAAGGGTAGATAGTACAGGTACCACTGGGGAGGACAGACGTCAGGACTACTGAGGGCGGATAGTGCAGGTACCACTGGGGAGGACAGACGTCAGGACTACTGGTGAAGACAGACGTACGGACTACAAAGGGTAGATAGTACAGGTACCACTGGGGAGGACAGACGTCCGGACTACTGAGGGCGGATAGAGCAGGTACCACTAGGGAGGACAGACGTCAGGACTACTGAGGGCAGATAGTACAGGTACCACTGGGGAGGACAGACGTCAGGACTACTGAGGGCGGATAGTGTGGGTACCACTTGGGAGGACAGACGTCAGGACTACTGAGGGCGGATAGTGCAGGTACCACTCGGGAGAACAGACGTCAGGACTACAGAGGGTAGATAGTGCAGGTACCACTAGGGAGGACAGACATCAGGACTACTGAGGGCAGATAGTACAGGTACCACTGGTGAGGACAGACGTCAGGACTACAAAGGGTAGATAGTACAGGTACCACTGGGGAGGACAGACGTCAGGACTACTGAGGGCGGATAGTGCAGGTACCACTCGGGAGAACAGACGTCAGGACTACAGAGGGTAGATAGTACAGGTACCACTGGGGAGGACAGACGACAGGACTACAAAGGGTAGATAGTACAGTTACCACTCGGGAGGACAGACGTCAGGACTACAAAGGGTAGATAGTGCAGGTACCACTGGGGAGGACAGACGTCAGGACTACTGAGGGCGGATAGTACAGGTACCACTGGGGAGGACAGACGTCAGGACTACTGAGGGCGGATAGTGCAGGTACCACTTGTGAGGGCTGACTTCTTAACTACTGAGGATGGATAGTGCACGTACTACTAGGGACAAACGGACGTCAGGACAACTGGGGGCAGATAGTGCAGGTACCACTGGGGACAACAGACATCAGGACTACTGAGGGCAGATAGTGCAGGTACCACTGGGGAGGACAGATGTCAGGACTACTGAGGGCGGATAGTGCAGATTACTGGGGACATACGTCAGGACAACTGAGGGCGGATAGTACAGGCACCACTGGGAACAGACGTCAGGACTACTGAGGGCGGATAGTGCAGGCACCACTGGGGACAGACGTCAGGACTACAAAGGGTAGATAGTACAGGTACCACTGGGGAGGACAGACGGCAGAACTACTGAGGTCGGATAGTACAGGCACCACTGGGGACAACAGATGTCAGGACAACTGAGGGCGGATAGTGCAGGCACCACTGGGGAGGACAGACGTCAGGACTACTGGTGAGGACATACGTCAGGACTACAAAGGGTAGATAGTACAGGTACCACTGGGGAGGACAGACGTCAGGACTACAAAGGGTAGATAGTGCGGGTACCACTTGGGAGGACAGACGTCAGAACTACTGAGGGCGGATAGTACAGGTACCACTGGTGAGGACAGACGTCAGGACTACACAGGGTAGATAGTGTGGGTACCACTGGGGAGGACAGACGTCAGAACTACTGAGGGCGGATAGTACAGGTACCACTGGTGAGGACAGACGTCAGGACTACACAGGGTAGATGGTGCGGGTACCACTGGGGAGGACAGACGTCAGGACTACACAGGGTAGATAGTACAGGTACTACTGGGGAGGACAGACGTCAGGACTACTGGTGAGGACAGACATCAGGACTACACAGGGTAGATAGTGCAGGTACCACTGGGGAGGACAGATGTCAGGATTACTGGTGAGGACAGACGTCAGGACTACACAGGGTAGATAGTGCGGGTACCACTGGGGAGGACAGACGTCAGGACTACTGAGGGCGGATAGTACAGGTACCACTGGGGAGGACAGACGTCAGGACTACAAAGGGTAGATAGTACAGGTACTACTGGGGAGGACAGACGTCAGGACTACTGAGGGCGGATAGTACAGGTACCACTGGGGAGGACAGACGTCAGGACTACAAAGGGTAGATAGTGCAGGTATGACTAGAGAGATGATGAACCCGGAGCATTTCCGATTAGGAGTAAGAAGCCTATGTCATGTCCAGGTAATTCACCAGAATGTTTGCAAGTCTCTCATGCCTACAGGCTATGTGACGTGTCGTGAGTCGTCGATCATCTGTATTAATATAATGTATTTTATAAACATTTTCCTTTGTGGTGGCAGTTGAAGGCCTACCTGATCTTGGATCCTCTTCTCGGCTCTTTCTACCCTCTTGACCTACGCTGCCCTCCTCTTATCAGTTTAAAAGGAAGGCACATCATCCCCTAAAGAAGACACCATGTCCGCAAGGATTACTGTTGAAGGTAGCCCTTCCCTTGGAGATATGATAATGCGACAGCCAATTTTGTCCATTTTCACTGACAGAGAAAAGCTAGTTACTTTGATGCCCGCATAAATATGCTGCCTGGTTGTAAATTTGGTACAAATTACCATATGCAAATTCGCTTTAAATGCTGTCAGTGACACTTGATAAACACGAGGTCAATGTGACAGGTAAAGGTTATTCCATCCGACGACAGGACATTTGTGGTCCCCATGTTCGTTCCGATGGACCATTGATCCTCCGACATGGCACTGGAAATGTATTGAAGAAAATCTGACAAGGATGCCATGGCAACAACGATGAAAAAATATTTTGGGCAACTTGTCAGACACATTCAACTGATAATCTTTATTGGCATCGGAGTCAGCATGGTCCACGGTGGATTTGATTTTTAGCTCAACCAGACTCAATCTCAATGCGCGTTTATTGGATGGGTGTGATCTGTCTTTCATTCTGATAGTTCTGCTGTTTCTGCCACCTCTGAGCCACATAAACTGGAGCCTTATATGCCATTATGGATAGGTTCAAATAAACGATGGAATTCAGTCAACTTTCAGTCCAAGCATTTATAACTGGACCTTTCAAACACAACCTCCCCGTCTACTACTTTAAGTTGCAGATCAGGATAGATCTTGCAATTAGGTAACCCTGCTTGATAATAGAAAGGAACATAATGTCAGGAAAGTTTAAAACGGGCTTGACGCTTAAACAGAATTAGTATTTTCTCGGCATGTCCGCTTGATGTACGATGGCAGAACCATGTAACTCAGGTAGTAGATATTCATCACTTACATAAACATACGAATACGTATGTGCTGACAGACCAAGGGTTGTAATCAATACGAGTCCGGAATTCGAACCCACGTTTAGCGGATCCTGACACGTCAAAGAGACACCACTCTGACCCTTGCAACCTTCACAATGAGTACAAGGAGCTCCGTTCATGTGAGTGAATCTCACAACGACGTGATAATCAAAGACACATGCAATTAATATACAGACGACTTACCATGGTCCTATGAAGTTTTCTTTCATTAAGACAACTAAGATTAGTATGTGCATTTCATTCTTCTTCAGTAAATGGTTTTATTAGAAAAGTTTCATATTCTTAAGGGTCTTTTCTATATTGTATATTTCCATCTTTAATCTATGACTTTTTGTCTTAAGACATTCATCTGCATTGCGACTTAAGTCATTTAACTGTCGGTATTTATAGAACACACATATCATTAATACGCGACAGTGTAGGCTACAACATAGTAATAGAAGTATTATCACAATCTGCATTCATAAGGAATATTTCACTGCGGTCCTAAAAGCCAGATTGAATCATGTTATTTTACGTTCAGACGGAAAGGTTAAAACATTTTATTGTCAAATTTCATTTGGTTACATTTCAACTTTACTTGGCGTCAGTATTTCGAACTCAAAAGCATCGTCTCTGACCCTCTCGCGAACGAAAAGATTAGCCACTGCGGCACACGACGACAAACGCAGGTCGTAGAGTGAGTGAGTGGGTGATTGTGAGGGTGAGTGGTTGGGTTAAAAGGGATGCTCAAAGTTAGACCAAGTCGCACACATCTATCACTTAGGTGCAACCCATTAGGGCGGCTGACAGAAAAGGCATCATAATCGTGGCGCATCAAATATTTCGAGTCCACGGCCAGCGGATCACAGCACGGCATTTACTGACGTGTTTAAATCAAACAGAGATGAATCCATTCTGATAATGTGCAACACAGATTTGTACAGGTTCTACAAGGAAGTTGATTTTGCAAGTGGTCGTCCACCATCTTGGCTTAAGTCCATTTGTACAGGTATTCCATCTCGACACAGTGGGATTTTCCAATATAAC